AGTGTCTCACCAAAATTTGGTTGTTGAGATTTTTGCGTAATGCAAGCATTTTCGTCCCTGTCTAATTCAATACGGGTCCAAAATCGCATAAAATGTACGAAAAGTTTTTTTGATAGGCCCTCTGGGAGCAACGCGAGGAGTTGTGTCTTCTCAGCTAGCCTTTGCTGACAGGCAGCAAAACTATGGAGGTGGATGCCAAGAGGAGGGACATGTTGAAATGCGAAAGAAAGAAACCGAAAGCGTCGGCCATTTGAGTCAGGTTGCGCTTTGCGGGCCACTTCGAGAACAAATTTCTCAGTGTAGAAGGGTCCAGATCGAGTTGGACTTGGGTCGGTCGCTTACCCAGAGAGTCCTTCAACAAAGTATGTGGAGACCCGCACCACCTTAGTTTTGTGAGACCTTCCTTTAACGTAAGCGGTTAAAGGACAACAACTCGAAAATAGGGATAACTGGAAGAAATGGGGATACTCAGACAGTCGAAGGGAGGATACCTCCGGCGGGCAAATGGCGCGAGTCTGCCACTTCGCGCTCTGAAGCGCTCCGGAGCCCTGCCATTTCACGCATTTTGCTGTTCCGGGGCTTTCCCAAAACTGGCACACCTCCGGAGCAGAGATTTGCTCGTCCCGGAGAGGGGTCCCACTCGTTCACCGTGACTTTACGGTGACGTCACAAGTAGGCGGATGGGACCCCTCTCCGGGACGCGCAAGTCTCTGCTCCGGAGATGCGCCAGTTTTGGGAGAGCCCCGGAGCAGCAAAATGCGTGAAATGGCAGGGTTCCGGAGTGCTTCAGAGCGCGAAGTGGCAGACTCGCGCCATTTGCCCTCCGGAGGTATCCTCCCTTCGACTGTCTGAGTAGGAGAGATTGATCATTGTAAATCCGAACTCCTTTATTTCGAAATTATTATTTTCAGACCACTCAAACTAATAGGCGGAGCCACCTTGTCCGCTTCTTCCTTTTAGAACAATTATTGTCAGAATTCATCTTTTGCAACGCAACTTGGACAATCACTTAGCACTTGGGTAGAGGCTCCGCTGTACAGATTACCTCAAGATTCTCGATTGTCGGACGGTTCTTTGAACTCCAGTGGCCGTATTCATCAACGAACCCTCAAGGTTAAATTCTACCTCAGCTAGCATTTTGGCTTATAACCCGTATTCACAACATGATCGCGATGAAACTCTGTCAGGAAACTCTGTCGGGTTAAGTCTACCTTGAGGTAGAAATGAACCTTCAAACGCATAAACCCGTATTCATCATTCTACCTTGAGGTTAAATTTTATCTCAATCATCATTTCTCCACCAACTTTCCATTATGCGTCCAAGGTAGAATTTGACCCTAGGATAGCTAAGGTTAAAATCTACCTTGAATTTGCACATAAGAGTTGAACTCTTTATAAGGACCTCCTTCATTCTAATTTCTGAGGACCTTATTCTGACGCAACCGTTTTCAAGGACGAATATATTCCATCAATATTAGCTCAAATTTCACTTGTTTACTTACACGGAAATCTTTTTTTGTCGAAGTTACCTTTTTAGACGGGATGTATAAGTTTTGAAAAGCAGAAAACATTCCAAATCTGTCTTTTTGTTTGTGGAACGTTCCTTGACGAAGAGTTGTGAGCGTTTATTGCAACAAGATACATATACATTTGGGATGGAGTTGCTAAATCTCACTAGTCCTCAAATAAAGCAATAATTGTAAGATTTATTAGGCTGGACACTAAGTTTTTGCACCTAGTTTTATAAATTCAACCTCTTTAGTTATGGCGCATTCAAATTTTGGCAATATGTAAAGCGTAATATGTGACACAGCTGCGCGCAGATTGCTCAAATTTTGACATAAAATAGGAAAGTTTCGAGCATTTTTCGAAAACTAGTGAACTTTGAGAGTTTTAGGAGTTTTAAGCTAAGATGAAGCTGTTACCAGCCTAGACCATGCACAGTGGTCCGGAATCGTGTACGAATTATGGCTAGAAGTTGACTCATTGGCTTAGTACAAAGTCGACCAAGTCGCAGTACGCAAGGGTTGCTGGGGACGACCGTCAATGACTAAAGAGCCAGAAGAATTTTCGCCGAGACTTGACATAATAAGGCTCTTGACCTATCAGATTGTTCGATTGGGCGATTCTCTCCTTAAAAGGTCCGGCGTCGCACTGTGTCGGATCCTAACAAAGAGGCGAGGAGGAGTTTTGGAACCAAAGTTTTATATACTAAACTATGAGAGTGAAACAGAGTTAAGTAAAGATTTTGGAAACTTAAGTAAATCTTTGCGGTATCTGCGTTTCATATGATACAGCTCAATTCTAACTCTATTTATACTCTGATGGCTATGAAGCGTGTTCTTCTTCCTAATGTATACGGTGTCTCAAAAATAAGTACTCACTTCTTGATCGTTAGTAACTCTCTTCTCAGAAAGCTTTTGCTTAGCTGCAAGTACCATGCAGTAGTGCAGGCTTCAACTTAGGTTTATAGTGTGGAGCAAAACACCTACGGCTCTTAATTGCTGTAAGATCGGTAGAAAAATATACAGCGCCATTTTGAAGTAGGCCAGCAAAAAAAAAGCTTCCAAAAAGCTGGAAAGTTGTGTAGCAGTGTTTCAGAAACGCTAACACAATTAGATAACCTTGCTGAGAGTTTTTACGCGTTCCAGTTGGTTTGGATTTTGAAGCACTGAAAAAAGGCAATTGGTTTATTGGCACAAGTTATGAAAAAAAGCCTTCTGGTAAATTGGAAACTTCACATATGATCGGCGACTTTGTTTGGTCTTGTGATAAAGTTTTCAGCTTGCTGAGTATCCATTTTAGGCCAAAATTCATATATTGATTTCTACCATCAATGTATAAGTTTATATAAATTTGATAGGAAGTTAGGGAAGGTTTGACCTTGTTAAACCCTCTTTAACTTTCTATTGTAATACTACAGTAATGAAGAGCTATAGTTGCTTCGCTCCATACCAGCAATCTAAGTTCAGGCCTGCTCTACTGCTCAGATAATCGCCAGGGGCAGGCGGTCCGCAAAGTCGCGCTTTTCTGCAGGCGGTCAGCAGAATTTTGGGGAGTGGCCAAACCTTCAGCGGGCGGCACTTCCTTTACGGTCGCATATTCTGCCAGCGGGCAGCAATACAGCATTTTTTGCAAGCGCTCGGCAAATAATTTCTTTCAGCGAGCGCTGGCCAAACTTTCAGCAAGCGCTCGGACTCTTTTTAGGCATTTTCGGGCGTACGTCGAGCGCAGGTAAGACTCTATGTGGCAGAGGTGTCACCGTTGGTTTAATTACTCAAGTTTGAGGTGCTTTCTCTCAGCGGAAAGTACCTGTGGGTTGCGCGGTCCTCCACAAAGGACCGTGCGGCCCTCGAAATTTTTGCATATTCTCGCGGAAAGTCCGCGAGAATGCGGCCACTGCGCCGCAGCTAATCTTCAAGGAAACCGCGATTGTTCTTCAAGCATTCGTTCTCAATTTCGCCAACTTTCTTCCAAATTTCTGCAAACGGGCCGCAAAAAATCAACGAACTATTTTTCCGGTGCGCGCTTGCTCAAAATTCGCATGGCCGCCTGCCCCCGGCGATTATCTGAGAATTGGAGCTCAGAGTCACTTGGGCAAACATGGAGATTGCAAGTATTGCGGCCGAGAGAAATAGCAACTAAGCATTCACTACACCGCTTAATCACGATTGTAAGCTACTTGTGTTTGGATTGTTTGATCAATGTGTCCACATTGCTGGGACCGATTTTCAACAATAAGAACCTCCAGCCAATCGAAATGATGTAACTGATCGAGCATCTTCATTTAGGGATCAATGTGTCCGCATTGCTGTGACCGATTTTTAGCACTAAGAACCTCCAGCATGTTTATTTAGGGTACTTAAAGGCAGTGTCCATGCAAATTGCCGTCTTCCGGTTTTTTACCTTCCCTGGATCTGGCCTTTAAACCGCGCGAAAATGTCGAGAAATGCTTTTTCTGGAGCCTTCCAAATCAGGCGTCCGGACGAGATTAGCGCGGGGTGACGCAGCATGCCCTGCATTTAGTCGTCGCCTGACGCCTCGTCGTACTCTTGTGAACAGCGATCTTTTCGAAAATGGTCAGATTGTTGTTATATTGTTTGTATGTTGTCCATTTCTTCTCCGTTTATGTGCTTTGCGTCGTTACAAACCTTTTCTTATTGTTATATGTGGATTTTGATTCATTTTATCGTGTTACAGAGCAGCAGAAGCCCTGCGCCTTACTAATGTGGCCTCTATTTATGTCAGAGCCGCTAGCTGAGGCAGCTAAGCAGACGCCCATGCAGCTTGAAGAAATCTGTGTGCTGTCCCCAAGCGGCAACGTTTATCGAAGCGATCGGGAGCCGTTTATAGCATGGAATACTACTTTTTGTTGAGGTGAGTATCATGGCTACATCTTTTACACACTCCTATTGTTATTTCTCTTTCTTTCAATTCTCTTTTCCTCAAATGTTGTAAAAGCGAATGAAAAAGCGCTAGATGGATTACCTTTCTTATTCTTAACAATCTAGTCATGTTTCTGCACTTCAGCAGTGAAAGCTAAGGTTTTGCTCGCTTCTCCTTCGGAGAGTCTGTATAGATCGTTTGCTGTTCTTGACAGATGAGCTCACATTCGAGAAGCGGAAACGGACCAGGAATGCAAATCCTCAGTCTGAAAAAACTACATTTCCTCCAAAGTTGTTTCACCTAAGACTTACAGCATCGCATCCTCATGAAAGCTCAGCTGCGTATTTCTCATTCGCCAGCAAACAACTCTTCTTGGATGAGGATGCGAATCAAATCATTTGCTATACATTTCATACTGCTAGTATTACAAGATGAAGTTGAATTGGCATTGTTTCCTACGAGGCGCCAATTGACAGTCGCCTACCGTAATCCCGCGACCTGCACATCTAGGGGAAATCGGCAGGTGGGCGGGTCTGTTCGGAACGCCCATCGTTAGGGCTGTTCTGTTCAAGCCTCTGAAGCAATTTTCTCGCTTCAGAAGCTACGGTTTCTGGTGGGAGTTGGGCTATTGCAGTTTGTGGGCGGGTACTCTTGCATGCTGCTTTATCTCATCATCTTCACATCTGCATGGACACTGCCTTTAAAGAGACACTATGAACATCCACACAATATATACAACGACACATGCCATCCAGAAGACTTGAGGTAAGTTGTGATATGACACAATTATGACTAAAAGGTAAACATAGATCAACTTGCATTGAAATACGAAAATGAAGTAGGTATTCCAAAATATAGATAAATGCTAATCCATCCATAATAATCACTTGTATACATACACCCTTGAGAGTTATCAAATATCAGCCTCTCCTGCCTGCACAAAAGCTCGAACCGCAGTGGACATAAAATGCGAATTTACTGTCTCCGAGGAGCAAGTTGCCAAATGGGTCGGAGTGCAAGCCGGTAGGGAGGAAAGTCAACTGACCGAAGACGCCACCAGTGTAGTCGACTATAAGATACAGAATGATAAGAATTCGAACAAACATGCTATGTGCGTTGATAAAAGCTAGAGTTTCCTTTTTGGTGTCAGTGACAGTGCATACTTGGTTGAGGACAGCTTTTTCTTTTGGTTTGAAAAATATTGATTTAGAGGCCATTGGCCTATAAATCGACAACAATGAACATAAGCACAGTTGAGAAGAAATATTTTGATTGATTTGCCAATCTTCGGGAGTAATCATTTCAAATGTTGGTATTTTCTAACTAGAACTGATCTTTTTTGAATCGGAACTCTTAGTGTCCACAGCCATATTGAGAAGTTGAAAACTGATAGAGTAAAGCATAATAATCTCTAACTTAATGTCATTAAAAATGAGGAAAACTTAGTGACCGCGTCATTCAAATATGTGCATATCATCAGATGGTGCATGCTATCTGGTATCATTTTGTGCACGATTCACCGAAGTGTAGCCTAAGTTTGTGGCACTGTAACTTACAAATCACCAGTATCAACTCTGAATTTATGCCACGAAAAGCCAATCATTGTTTACGGTGTATCTTTTTGAGAGCTCAAGCTTATCTCCATATTTTTGAACAAAGGTAGAATTATCAATTCCGTACTATCAAAAAGGACGAAATGCACTTGTGTTTAGAATCATTGTAACTGAAAACACTTAAGACACTCTGAAACAATCTTTGCTTTACAATACAGAGGACGTTTTGCAGTAACATGACATGTAGTTGTGTTCAAATAATATTTTTTCAAATGAATTTCACCATGGGCCATCATTATGCCTTCAATATTGCCGAAAACCATAAAAGCCAGCAGTCACTGATTCCACAGCCAATTCATCCGTTGTTCTTCAACACCTCAGTTCAGTTTGGATCATAAAATAGCTTCAAGAACACTTTTGGTCAGTCTTTCTTTCTTCTTTCGCAAGGCTGCATCTAAAGCTCCAGTGCTATACATACCTGCGGTGAAATTTCAATAATTTTATTCCGAGACTGTGCAAATGTGCCCTTTCTAGCATATAGCCAAAAGCTTGTTTTATCATAGATTTTTTAAGTGACGAAAGCAATTTCCCCGAAGGCGCAGAACACAATTATGATTGTATGCCGCGGCAGGGGTATTCACTAATTATTTGGAGAACGTGAAAAAAGGTTACTCTGAAATTCAAGTGTGCTGCATGTGTTAATGTATTTTGTCTCTGTTGTTTTGTAGAGTGCAGTCATGATCACTTCGTGGAGAGGACATCGTGGAGGAATGTAAAGTTACTGGAAAGTGTCTCTTTGTACGTACTCCAGACCCCTATTACCCCATACCCCATATTTGCACCATTTGTTCGAATAAAATGCTTTCTTCTGAAACTTCAAGGATACCAACAGCACCTTTGTTTTGTGAAAGAGATGCTGTCAGGCTGATACAGAAATCTTTCCGAAAAAATCCTCCAAAAATTGTTATTGCTTTCACTTTCTGGTATGATCAATCACAAAGCTCCATATGATCAATTGCTTCCATCAAAATTGAAAAGAGTGAAAAATTTTTGCACTACAGTGCTTAAATGACGGCGAGAAAACGAAAGTATGGCATGACCATTCGCTATCATTTGAAGTCAAGTCTTATTCTTGCTCGTGCAATGACTGCTCACTCAACAAAAGTTCGTGGTCTAAGCCTTTAGATTTCTCGAGCCCCTGCTTACAGTGTTATTAAAGTTGGTCCAAGAAATTTATTTCCGCATTAATGCATGCAGTTGCATGTAGGATTGAATAAAAAATGCTCACGATTATTTAGCTTCTCTTCCATGCAGCAGCTATTTATGATCTGACATCAAGAATGCTCTTGTCTTTTAACTTTCCTTCCAAGCCGTCACACACTGGAATTAAAGTGGCAGTTGAAAACTTATGGAATCAGTCTTCCGTTGACCCGGTTCTCTAAAGGTTTTTGTTGAGGAGAGTAACTTCAAGCGGGAGCACGTGAATACTTCAGGTTGTTGAATTCGCAAAAAGTTGTTTTGAATTCGAAGATTATTAGTGCAATCTCACATCACGTGAGTGCATCATCAAAACACCTTAAGATATCTACCAAATCATTAAAAAAGAAAGATTACATTCTTCAAACCCATCACAAACAGCATTAAATGTTTTGCACATATGTACGGTGCCACGGCCACTCTAATCCAGAAAAAACACAAGCGTTTTTGCTAACAAGATACGCTCAAATTTACACGCACTCCTCCTAAGTTGAACCTTTCTAGATAGGAACAGTTGCTATTACACTCCCATTCTGCTTTAGATTATGCAACATCATCAGTGTAGAATGTGAAAGAACATTCAATTGAGCATTTACAAATGGGAGCCACCTCTTTACGATGTTATTTAAGTGGTTAGTGAAGATTTTGTGCTTCTATGCCAATATGTTAGTGAAGAGGGGTAAGAGCATGTTGAAAAAATGTGCAGTGGCGACTGTACATTCAGCGTTGCTGAGCGCTTGTTACTGATCTGATGATCTCATGTTTGCATTCTTTCTGTGGGAGTGTGCTTATTCATTGTATTCATTAACCTAGAGTAAGCAAAATCTTAAACGATTCGTGGAATCTGGCCCTCTACTATGTCCAGAAAGGCACTTCTGTTTATTAGAAGATGGGTCGCGCCTGATTGTGCGTCGTTTTTTTTACGAGCGGTATTGTGCAACTGCTACTGGTTCGATCATCAATTAATCCCGTTAATGGGCCAACTAATGACCATTGGGCAGTAGTTGAGATCATAGTAGTCTCGAATCAAGCACCCACTTGGTGATAATGGCTATTTGCATATGTAAGGGTTTGACACATTCTGAGGTTTCTTCCACTGCGGAGCATACAGCATACGTCTAATGTTTCAAAAATCTCCGCAGTAGGCCACTGTCATTACATACTCTATCGATGTCGGGCGTTTCTTTCTCAGAATTGCACCTTTCTATGCTAATCTGCCGATAACGACTGCCGCAAATCAAATTGTGACATACACATTGGTCTAGCCTCACACATTCTTCAGAAGAATCAGTCGGGTTCAAGCGAACCGCTTTCTAGGTTTTGAAGCTGGTTAACACGGGGAGGTCTTGCTCGCTCTGTTACTTTACTGAGAAAACGACGAAAGAAGTGCAAAGTGATTGCAAATCAAACTTTCTATAATCACTAATGTATTAGAGAATCGTGATGGCAATAAATGACCAGTGATTGAAAGAAAAAAACGCGAGCGTTCTGTGCCGATATGAAAGTAGAATAAGAATCATTTTCTGTACTATACTAGAACATTTATGAATTTATAGCCCACAAAATAGCATAGAACTCATTTGGAAAGGCCACTTCCATTAAAAACACTTTCCGTGTAAGATTTCATACAGCATGGAATTTCCCAAAATTCGTCAAGTTTGGGTTGAGAGTTTTCTGTTCAAATCTCAAAAATCTCGTCCTGGTAAGTTTTTTGAAGCACTTAACTTTGCTATCATTATCCCCATCTTTCAAAATACATTCTGTTTCTGGATTCGGTGCAAGGAGAGTAGAAGAAAAGCATATAAAATCTCAATGGCTTACCTGCGAGGACATAGAACTCCGGCTTGAAGATTTGCAAAAAATTTTGCATAAGAAAACTGGGTTGGAAAAAAGTATGTAGCATCTTGGGCTATTATGTGATTTCGAAAGAGAGAGAACATCGAAGAAGTGCAATGGTATTATTTGATAAAGCAAAGCAAGTCCTATATGGTCATCCAACAATCGCAACAAGCTGGGAGGTAGCTGGGAGGTCTTGTTTGCGATCAGACGGTCGAGGTGAAGTTTGACGACAAAATCTAAAAGTTTCAGATGCAAAAATGCACAAAATCGTCTCTTCTCCCAAAGAGCTCTTACAGTCTTCCATCTTGGCTTTGGAAAAAATGTAAGATTTTCGTTTTTTTTAGCAGTGAAAAAATCACTATGCTTATAAATGCCTCATGGAGTTGTATATCCCTGAGGAGATAGAAAGCATTTAGCAGCTTCAAGATTTTGGCTTCCAATCTCATGTGGATCGAACTTGTTGCGATTATTCGATAACCGTCTTGTAGAGCTTCCTTTGCTTTATCAAAATACACCGGCATGCAATTTTTTAGTGGTTACCCTGCCTCGATAGCACATGATAGCACAGAACGCAACGTTTTTTTCCCAATAATAGGAAACTTTCAGACGCAAAAAGCTTTCAGGAAAAATTATTTGTGAAAGCTTCCAAGTTTTAATCCCGATCAATATTCTCCGATTTTCAAATCGTTCCAGCATATTGTCCCAAATTTTCTCAAACAGGCTAAATCCCGAGAGCTCTTCCGTTCATATTTTCCATATACTTTCCCACACAACGAAATGGCAAAATAGGCAGCAATGATGGATTATTTGGCGTTTGATGGGCGACATAACATCGTTTTCATGTTTTTGTCTTGATATCGCCAGCAAACTATTGTAAAATTTGAATCTCTTTTACTAGCGTTGTCATGCTTTTGCTTGTTTCCTCTCTGAAAGCTTCCATGTCGTTACACAAGTTGTGATCAGAGGTGCGTTAGGGGAAGCTGGGCCCAGCAAAATTGAAGGTGGTCCTAGCTAACACCGGCCGCCAAAAGTGAAGGTAGTGGTGCCGGACACTCACCTCCCAAAACGTCGAGGGGGGGGGGAGCACAGCTCGACGTTCCTTTTCGCAAAAAGTTTCCTTCTCAAAATTTTTATAAGCTTCTTCATAACAAAAAGGGGAAATACGAAGTAAGAAGAACAAATGCAAAGGTTACTAAAAGTTTTTTTTCTTGCCCAGTTTACTTTTAGAAACTCGCCGTCACCTAGTGCGAGCACCATAAGGCCATCCTGGCATGGACGCATCTAAGCCCCAGCACTTCGCACAAATTCGGAGAACAAAGACTTCTGGATGAATTTCAAGAGCTCTAACCTAACGGTCCCCTTAAGGGCAATTAACTATGACCCAACATCTTTCTATAGGACCACAAATACGATGAGTGCAGCGGCATAAACATTTGATAAACGTGTTAATCAAATGGTGTATTTAAACTCAGCTAGAGTTTACGCATTTTATGAATTAAATCTTGTTATAATTTACTGCGAAGAGAGTAGGCGATCCAGGCAGTAGCCGCCGACAACCAGAATTCTGAATGATAAAAGCGAAAAATTATGCGAAACCTCCACTGTTATAAATCTGGTGGTTGAAAATGTCAGCAGCTGCGATTCATGAATTTTAGTGAAGGTGTTGTTCTGTCAGAAAGTGAAAAAAATCATTTCGATATGAGAAGTGGTCGCCGAGAGACAGAATTTTGAAAGATTACGCGATTCTAAGTTGCTTAGTGACAGCTGACATTTACACTCCTATAAACCTGGATTGTGAAGGTTTGTGACGTTGCGACTTCATAGGTTTTATAGGGTAAGGTTTGTCTTATCAGATTATATCTTAAGCGTGCCGATCCGTTCAAACATCACCGAGAGCCAGACTCTTGAAAAGCAGGTAAAAAAGCGCTTTTCAAAGTTCAACAACTCGTAACTTCTTCAGAATTGCATGAATCATGTTGCGACTTCATAGGTTAAATTCTCCTCACCAAGAGCTTTCAGATGATCTATAATTTTTGGGAGTCTAGGCCTCCTACGACATATGCCCGGGAGGAGACTTTTCATCACTTACCCTCTGGCGGCTTCCAGCCAATACATTGAAGTGGGCGAGAGGGAGAATGAGTGATGAAAAGGCTCCTTCTCGAGGATATGTAGTAGGAGACCCTAAACTCCCACTATTATATATCATCTGAAAGCTCTTAATGAGAAGAATTCAATCTATGAAGTCGCAACATGATTCATGCAAATTTGAAGAAGTTATGAGCTGTTGAATTTTGAAAAGCGCTTTTTTACCTGCTTTTCAAGAGTCTGGCTCTCGGTGGTGCTTGAACGGATCGGTATGTCTGAGATATATTCTGATAAGACAAACCTTACTTTATAAAATCCATAAAGTAGCAACATCATATACCTTCACATTCAAGATTTATATGAGTTTAACTGTAGCTGTCACTAGACAAGCTAAAATGGCGTAATTTTTTGAAATTCTGTCTCTCGGCGACTATCTCTCGAATCGACATGATTCTTTCACTGTGTATTAAAAGTGCACTTGCTCTTAAGAACCCATGAAATCACAATTGCTAACATCCTCAAACACCAGCTTTATAGCAGTGGAAATTTCTCATGATTTTTCGCTATTTTGTTGTTCAAAATTCTGGTTCTCAGCGGTTACTCCCTGAATTTACCTACTTTTTTCGCTGCACGTTATAACAAAATTCACTTGATAAAATTCTTACAATTTTGCTGAGTTTTACTTCCTAATGGACCATTTGATAAACACGTTTATTTCAGATATCTATGCCGTTGTATACATAGAAAAATGCTTTCAATGATTTCTTTTGCAGTTGTTTTACTAATTTTCCTTTTTTCATCCAGCGAAAATTTATTCAAAAATCAAAAGTGAAGGTAGAGGGAGAATCGGCTCTCACTTTCGCATCTCTGGTTGTAATATAGACTGCAGACGTCCTTAAAAAGCTACAAAACTTCTCGAACTGACTTTTTTGAGATTTCAATTAACTTTATAAAATACCCTAGGATATCAAATTAATGACAGTCAGAACATGAAACGAGCAGCATTTCAGAAAAAGCTCATGATTACATGGTCAGAAAAAAAGAGTTGGTTTTGGTAGTTCAAAATACGAGATACTAACACATTACTGCACTTAATGACAAATAATATGAGTGGACTCACTATCAAAAAAAGTACTTATTATGCCACGAATAATTGGCTAGTCATAGAATGCGGAAAGTGATCTTGTTGTGCCTTTTCTCTTCATGTTACTGCATTGGGATTGGTCGCAAGCAGACAGTTGGAGTAGTAGGGAAACTTCTTTGTAACAATAAACCCGCAGTTGGAGTGGAAATAAAGCTGTACGAAAAGGGAGTCTGTAAGTCAAAGCTGCAATGAGCTCCGTTTAAACTAGAATTTTCAGTCGTCCACCGAAAGCTGGACGAAGTCACAACCGACAACAACGGATCGTTTACGGTTTCAGGCACTGCTAAGGAGTTTTCCAAAATTGATCCACAGCTGAACATCTACCATAGATGCAATTACAAAGGGGTAATTTGCTGATTCAGAATTTTAAGTTCGACAAAATGTCAAAATACTAGATTACGACTATATGAACACTGTTCAGCCTTGTTACCAGAAGCTCACAATAAAGGTCCCATCAAAGTATATAAGCAAAGGAAAACAGGTAAAACAGTACTTCAACATCAAAACATTGGAGCTTACCACGAAGTTCAACGGACAGAAGACCGACTGCTTAAGTTACGTGAATGAAGTAAATAATCCCTGGCTTAGAATTGAGGATTACTTGCCAAGATCTACATGGCGCAAACTTGAGCCTTACGTGACATAGCTCATTACAGTCATATGCATGAACAAGAGTTTAGAGTAATGTTCTTGTCATAGAAAAATATTCTTTCATAGATTATTTCTTGCCATTCCCCATATTTCTGAGCATATGATTGGAACTCTATAAGCTTAAAGGCAGTGTCCGGGCAGAAACTCGATTTTGAGATTTTGTGCTTACTTGGGCCTATTCGCTACGCTGAATTCGAAAATGCACATTGTAGAGCGCGAAAATGGCGAAAAACGGTTCTAACGCAGGAGGGAAATGAGCAGGTGGGCGGGGTCCTCCCCACTGCGAATTCACGTTCCCGGCTTCCGGAGCGACCTTCTCGCTTCCGGTTTCAAGTCAATCATTCGCACTTGGCCGGTAGCGATGTTAGAACGGCTAGCGGAATCGAGGAAATCGCTCCGGGAGCTGGGAGCGTGAAATCGCACTGGGGAAGGCCCCGCCCACCTGCTGATTTTCCTCCCATATTAGAGCCCTTTTTCGCCGTTTTCGCGCTTTCCAATGTGGATTTTCGGATTCAGCACGGCGAATAGGCCCGCATAAGCACAAAATCTCAAAATCGAGTTTTTGCCCGGACACTGCCTTTAAGGAAGCCTTTATGATCCCTCTCTTTTTACAATGTTCTGTTACTTTAGTCAAATAAATACTCCATAATGTTGCGTTAGACAAAGCATGACATTGCCGTGGGATTCAGAATGTTTGAAACTCTATGATTCTCAATTCAACTTTGCTCTCATTTTCGGACCTTACAGAAATAGAACTTACCATAATGATTTTGTGTCTGCATAAATAAAGAAGATCGGCCTCAAAAACGCTCCAGATTCATCAATAAGAGTTGAGTTGCATGTAAACTTTATTTTGAGAACACAGCAATAGGAGACACTGACAGCTATTCAGGACCAAAAAATCTGGCCGGAAATGACATATTGCATTATGTTTATCACCGCTAATTTTGAGCGAGCACTAAGCTACTAAGCAGTAAGTCTTGATATGAGTCGCTGAAATGAACTTAGCTTTGGTGGCACCCTGACTGTTACCGAATTAAGAAAGATTCCCAATTGAGACATAGTAGCATATAGCTGGCTATAGCTTAACTGCTGCTGCGTCGGATGCGGGAAATTCCCTCCAAATTCAATTTTTCAGCTGTGAAACCACTCCTGCCAAACTCTTGTATTTGGAATATAATCATTTCGGCTGTGATCAGATGAATATTCCATTTCTCAGATCCCTAAGTATGGTCCGCCGCCCCTCAACGTGACGTGGGGTGGCCCTGAATGTCACTGCAATGTAAGCCTAGTGTATACTCTGTTAGGGCCTCCAAGCCATGAGGAACTAAAACATTTCCGGCTTCGGTCGGATGCTTACTTGAGAGCGGACCAGACCAGGTCCCCTGCCGTCTAACTTTCTGTTCGCTAGGCGTCCCTGCTTAACACCCGGAGTTAGCGATCGTCTCGTGAAAAGAAGAGCAGGCCTAACAAGTCTATTCTCGCAAGCGAAAATTTTGTTACTCGCAGCAAAAAGAAAAGAAATAAACCCTGCACATCGGATCCCGCCTACGGAGCCGGGTGGTAACAAGAAGACGTCAGGTCCTTGGAGTCCTGTGGGTCGATCGTAAATGACAGTCTTTCCGGACCACACGCCATGCAGAGCCCCATGCTCTGCACCTGCAACGCAGGGACAGTCCCCACTGATCCCAAACTCCAGGTTTTTCTCGATAGAGCACATCAAAAACCATATCATCGCTTTGCGGGAAATGAAATCCAAAAAGAAGGAGGTGAAAGAGATGAGTGTTGGAACCCTCATCATTCCTATTGAAAAAATTCCATCACGAAACGTGAGAGGCGTCGGTTCTATCGTCCACCCATTTATCGTCCATCTTGTGGATTCGCAGGAGGACCTCGACTAGCTACCCTATTACGTCAGAAGACCGTCAGCATCATCATTTGCTATATTTCCCAGCTTTAACGGCGGAAGAATCAGAAAAGGATGCTTTGTACGAGGAAGGCCTTTCGCAACAAGAAATTCTTTTACTCAGATAATCGCCGAGGGCAGGCGGCAGCAGAATCGGGACGTGGCCAAACCTTCAGCGAGCAATACTTCCTTTGCTGTCACATGTTCTGCCAGCGGACAGCAATACAGAATTTTCTGCAAGCGCTTGTCAAATTATTTTTCTTCATCGAGCGCTGGCCAAACCTTTTGCAGTGCTCTTTTTACGCAGTTTCGGGCGTGCGTCGAGCAAAGGTAAGACTCTTTGGAGCAGAGATGTCATCGAATTATTCATATATCTGCAAAAACCGTAAGAAACCGAACTGTTTTTCCGGTGCTCCTTTTGCCCATAAATCGCACTGCCGCCTACCCCGGCAGTTCTTTTAGTAGTCGAAAGCATGATTCGAAGGTTTGGTCGAAAGCTGGAAAAGAAGGTCTGCCACAGCTGCCGCAAGAAGAAAACAAGTCGTATATGACGGTAAAAGGCTGGAATAGCTCCTATCAAGTTGTGACTGGCCCACGAGGGGGAACAACGTACGACTGGAACTGGCTGCTGAAAGTATGGCAAGCCTGGAAAGTGCGCCTTAGTGACTTCTGAGATGAATTTGAACGCATTTCGAAGAGCATCAAAAACTTGCTTAATTGATTAAAACTTTGAGACAGGAAACAAACGCAACCCATTTCGAGCGACTAATAGCCAGTACCTGCTGCAGAACAGCTTTACGTGAGGATCCGAAGTGCCATAATAGATACTGGAGGGAGCCGAAGGAAGACGATGTCTCTTAGGAAGTGCCGAGGGTCCTCTGCAGTAATAGCGCCGGCTGCAATTGGACGAAAACGGGGCTCCGAATACTTCTAGACATAAAATAAAACCCATGGCGAAGAACTTCCAGGTCAACCTCTTCTGCTTGTCAACATCTGCGCACATGCCTGTTGCTCCCATGAAGAAGTATCTCCGTCGCCCTTCGAATACCATCATGGATTTCCTTAAAAGATGAAAATTGCTGAAAGCATGGCGAACCTAGAGAGTGCGCCTTAGTGCCGAGCCGGAAGACAGTAACAAGAGATTTTCGCGTGGCATCTAACCTCTTACTTTTATTAGGTTGTCGGATAATTTCTGTTACACTTTTTATTTTGATTCTTAAAAATCTCAGAAGCTTTGAAAAGATCTCATGTTCACGGTGTATGGACAGGGTCAAAAGGCCTATACAAGGGTACCGTCGCATCCGCGATCCATGCGCAAAACACTCACTTTGTGGCTAAAAATCCGTTTCTTCCCATTTTTGAAAATGAGCTGCGTTCTCTCAGGTGATGAGCGATAGAGCGGACAATATGTTAATCAGGTAGGGCATAGTCTGTAGCGTTTAGCTAATATGGGGGGATAACGCAGACATGTCTGCACACGTTTTTCTGAGCGGTTCAAATCTCAGTGTGTGCCATCTTTGCAATCCTCGGAATTTTTACGGAGAAAACGTCTTCAAAAAACTTCCAAAAATCATTTTTATGTTTTCTGTATTCATTTCTATACGATGCACATAAAAAGAAGAATTTAGGAAAGTTTTTGAATTTTTTTGACATTTTTTTCACCCCTCGTTTTTGAAACGCTAAAAGCACCGCAATGCCTCCATGTAAGAGACAATGCCAAAATACGTTTTAAAAAAATTCTAGAGAGGGAAAGGGCAAGTAGGTGCAGAGAAAAAGATCAGACAAAAACTGAAAATTTTGACTGCTCTTACAAAACTGCCGTAAACTTGTTGGTCATTAGTGCACTTGCGGAATTAATCATGCTGGTGGGTAGACCCTGCTATGCCCTAAGCATGTTGCAGATTTGAGGTTTTCAGAAAGCTTCTGAAATTTTCTAGAAATTTTAGAAAAAAGTGTAACAGAAATTATCCGACAACCTAATAGAAAGAAAGGATTTTCGACCAGTGGAAAACTCTAACAGGGAGAGGATATTTAGTCGAAAGTACCATTCCAAATGAGACATATATCAAAAGCGCTTGAAACACTGATTCCAAATCTAGTTTTGTAGAAGGACTTATGAGAGGTGTTCCCTTCTGGGGTTGAGACACCCTCCAGCGGTCTCCCCTTATCTATGAGCACTGTACAACTGGTGGCAACTGGCCTAATGGTAAGTAACTTGAATGAAGATTACAGTAGGGATTATAATGCTCGTATTACTTTGGTTTTTTTAACACTTCTAACTTCGATTAGCATTAATATCATCAGAAATTTTACGCTTTAGGGTTCTAAAGCCATTCAGAAGCTCAATTTTGCAAAGACTGCGATAAAGTTGCCTGCGAACGGATTAAAACCTTGACACTCACCCTATCAAGCGCTTCACTTACCACTGGGTCAGTTGCCACCAATTGGTACTTCTCTACAGTGCTCATAGGTAGGGGGAGAACTGGTGGAGGGCGCCTCAACCCCAGAGGGAAACACCCGTCATAACACCCTCTACAAAACACTTTGAGATGGTATATATGTCTCATCCAGTGGCGTACCCAGGATTTCGGCGGGAGGAGGGACGACAAAAAATTTTTTCTAAAGAAGGTGCGTGGCGTTAGCCACGCACTCCGAAAAAATTTTTGGGATGCTTCTCAAAATTTTTGCGGGTCCCCAAACCCTAAAATCTGGAAAAAGGGGGCATGGCCGAAAAAAAATTTTTATAAGGCTAAATGAATTTTTAAAAAATTTTTAAAAATATTTTTACTATTTTCAAGTGCAGACAAGTCATTTGCACAATTTTATAACCCATGTATTTAACTTTTAAAAATTTCGCGACCAGTTCTTGGGGGGGGGGGGCCTTCTTACGCCACTGGTCTCATCTGGATTGGTGCTTTCGACTAAGTATCCTCTCCTTGTAAGAACCGTCCTTCTCTTCAAAAGAGGTGAAGAGGAGGATCTTCGGAACTAACGGAATCAATATGCCTGCTGTGTGTGCTGTACGAGCTTTTCATAAATTATCCTCGCTCGCTTATATGGGACTCTGTGTGAAGCCCAGGCCCATTGACAAGCTGGATTTAGCACAGCGCTGGATTTCGCAAAAAATTCCGCTGAACCATGTCCAGGCGATTTCAAGGGCCATAAAAGTCTGCCGGAAAAATTTTTTGCAATAAAATAGTTCAAACTTTCTTAAAGCATCACTTTACAAAACACGTTGATAAGTTTCTTTTAGCGCTTCGAGAATGTGCAATTACCTCCTTGTCGAAGATCATGCTTATTGAATGTATCATAATATCTCACAACCACAATGTCTACTGCTTCCGACCTTGGCCAGTAATAGAGCTCGGTTAAGGGAGAATCTCCTCTGAGGCCCTCATTTGAGATTCCGTCCGATCAAATGGCGACCGCCCACTTCCACATGCTATGAGAATGCAGCGTCACACATGTGAACCTCAAGTCAACTTCGTGAGAGATAATCTCCCGATCGAGTCATGGGAGATGATCCGAGAGATAAATTTCCGAAATAGTGTGCTAACGAGAGGATTTAGGGAAAATGCCCTTAATTGTTCCTGAGTAACTCAATACAATACTCAATACACCTCATAGCACTCAATAATGTAGACAGAGCGCAAAAGTGCATAATTTTGAGGACTATGAAAAGAGAGGCTCAATAACAGCTGATGGCAGCCGTGGACAATGGAAAATCACTTTTTACCTTTTTCGTAGAGTTGATTTGATCTCCATAAAATGAGAACTTATCTATCTCATTCTAATTCAGTGTTTAAAATTTCTATTTCCAATGGGGATTCATGCCAAGCTGTCATGACTTTGTTTTGTTTGTCCATTTCCTAGGTGTAATTCTTAATAGCGGTCATCATCGGTTTTTGGTAGTGGCCGTCGTCAAAGATGGACGGCCATGAAACAAAAAGTAAACGCTGCTTGGTCTTGAACCACGACCGCTCCCGTTGACTGGCGATACCTCTGCCCATTTAACTAAATCTGCACAAATCGTAGAGATGCTTTCGTTAACCGCGAGCGTCTATAAAAGGATCAGCACCTATATCGATAGTACAACTGATGCTGACTTGTGGTGCCATAAGGTCAACTCAGGTCCGCCTCGGGGAGATGCTCTGGGGGGGGGGGGTTTACAACGGGCCATTGACTTACCAAGCAATCTCAAGCCAGTTTTAGCTTACTAAGGTCACATTGCCATAACTAGTGAGTGAAATCTAATGTGATGTCAGTCACATCCGTGCGGACTACCTCCAGTGTGGGCTAAAGAGCTTCGAAGCACTCGATACTTGTCGAAACATTAGGTTATCAATAAAGAGCGGCGCAAAAACGCAAGAGAGCGCAAAAACCTGGTTGGCAGAAGAACACCACACAGTGAAATCTAAATTGAATAATAGGACTACTCATTGTTGTGTACCATTGGTAGCACATAACACATCATAACAGGAAGAAGAATTTGCTAATTGGCCTACACCAAAATGCATTTCTCACCATTCAGTGTTCAATTCCATGTACATACAATTACTGTAGCAGGTGCAACGAGTGCATAAAATCTGGATGCACTAATCAGAATGAAATCTCTTTGGCGCTGCTCAATATGCAAAATTCATTTGCAAAAAGTTTACATAATGACAGTTCTCTATATGCGGTCTCGTTGCTAATCGAAAAGCTGCGGCCCAAGTCCAAATCTGCAAGCACTTTCTCAATTGAGCACAAATTGTGCATATTTGTTCACGTATCTGCGTGCTTCCATGAAGCAAATAAATTCAGGGCGCTCATTTGCACGGGTAAGCACAATCTATTTAGAAGTCAGCCTGTCCTTCCTGTTTCACAAAACTTTTTTTTGATTATGCTTGAATGATATTTTCGCAGCAATCCCTAATGTTCGTGGTTTCTCAAGAAAAAACCACTGGCTGCCCCTGGAGTCGCCCCTGGCTCCTATACCCAAAAAAAAAGACCCAAATAGTATTCTGCATTAAGTGTCTCTTGTGGAACAGTTTCGTGAAATAGAGATTTTTTCGAGCTCCATGCAATAGGACACGCTTACATTTTATCCCAAAACCACCATAGAAGCTAAGGAAAAATGTAAAAAACTTCCTTACTGGCTCAAAATCTTGCAACATTCTTCAATGTGGCTACATCTTACTACTTATTCCAATCTACCAAACCCTTTTCAGAAAAAAAATTCTTTAATGCTTATTATACGGATTACCCTTATGAAGAGAAATTTTACTACAAAGTCATTTAATTAAAGGAGAATCTGCCTACTCCATCACAGAAAATTTTATAATCCCATTCTTCTTTGCTTACCGCTTCATACCTTTTCTCTGCTTGCATAATGCTGAATCCTGCAAAAATCACCAGCAAATACTGCCTTTTCACAGAACTGTAAACAATTATTCAAATCAAGAGCTTTTCATGAAAGATCGATATTTTGCAAAATAGAAACTTTGCAGCGGAAGAAGAAGTGGAAATTCAAAGTAGAAATCTATGGCTTTGTAGCTCCTATTAGGACCATAAATGATGCAAATTATATCTTGGAGCAAAAATTTATATCTTGGAGCAAAAATTTCTTCTCTTGTAGGAAAAAATCATTCCTATTTAGCGGTATATGCAACAACTTCTTTCTAGTGCCGTTACCTCAAGAGAAATTACTTTTCAAGTACTTTTTAGGCTACAGTCTATTTATTGACTTCTCGGATTTCTGGATTTAAAATTAAACAAATCTACGACTTCACAAGAAATTAAAGCACGGAATTTAGTCAAGAATCGGCAGGGTCTGGCAGGGTTTTCACCGAAAAGCGTCAAAACCCCTAAGAATTGAAGGGCGCAACTGCTAGCGCTCGAGGATCAGCTTGTACAGTTATTCGAATTAACTTCAGGGAAGAAGAACTTGTTTTCCCATAGCAACATGGTACATGATGGCAACCATTACAGCCATTAGCAAGATGGGTAAAAAATGTGACTGGAGCTATCATGGAGGAAAAATTACCCAAGAAAAACCTTCGAACTCCCGATATACTGATTCCGTTGATTTGTGCTTTATAACGAAGACCGTTTGCAGATTCATTGTAAAAATGCTATTTCACAAGCTGCTGATGCTTGCTCTTCTGACATGTGCATGTGCCGCTCCTGGTTCTGGAAGGATCTCTGTTTCAATTTCTTATAATCGATTTTACAAGGTTAGAACTTCGCCTTGACATTGTGATTTTGAGTCTCATTTTACAGTGCATGAGCCAATGTCTGAAGGAGAAGCATAAACAACCAAACGTATTAGATTCGCACTCTTATGACGCATGCTATAATAAGTGCATCATAGAAGGAAATCCTTCAGAAGAAGCAGTTCCCAAAGATCAACAGAATGAGGACAACGAGGATGAAAACTTATGAGCAAGCGTACGTAATTTCCATCGCCTTCAATGGAAATAAACTTTTGTATGAGTTTTGTGCAGTCTGCTGTGTCCGCTGTACCGGGAGTTTTCGAGATTTACTTGAAATTTTCATGTGCCAACACCGTAGAACATAATTTGAAGATTTTTTGATTTCGAGTGACTGCTCAATTTACTCGTACTCAAGACCAGAGACCGGCACAAGGGTGGGGATTATCAAGCTGGGAATCGCTTTGTGTAGAAAAAGCGAAGGGTTATGATAAATATAGGTTTCTATGCATTACTATCCCTTATGTAAGTGAAATAATTCAAAAATTCTTGAAGGTTCAAGTCAGTTTGTAAGAAAAATATTTAGGGCGTTTGCCCCTCTTTTTCAAAAAACCAAAAAAAAATGAGAAGTACCCGAAAAATTTTGTGGCTAATGCCACGCACCCTTTAAGAAAAATGTTTGTATCCCCCTCCGTTGCCAAAAAATTCTCTGACCGCACTGGTATCTATCTATATTACGTTTCGCAATCTCAAGGCTGATAATCCTTCTTGTATGGAGGTAGAAGTTGAAGCTAGTCTTGCCTGTACGTCAGTCTTGTTCAAAGTGCTGAATGGTTCATTGATTATGAAGCGTGATGAATACGATCAACATCTCAGACGGTCGAAGGGATACCTCCAACTGTCCAAATGCCGAGGGGTCTGCCACTTCATTGCTCCGGAGCCCTCCCTTTTCACGCGTTTTGGTGCTCCGGGGTCCTCCAAATCCCGCGCACCCCCGGAGCAGAGATTTGCGAGCACCGGGGAGGGGTCCCATTCTTTTTCCGCCTTCTTGTGACGTCACGGTGCACCAAAACGCTTGAAATGGGAAGGCTCAGGAGCAGTGAAGTGGCAGACCCCCGGCATTTGCCCCCGGGGGTTCCCTTCGACTGTCTGAGATATTGATTGGCGGATAATCCAACGTGAAAATCTGAGCAAATCATTTGTTATCGACGCTCAAACCCTTTGTGATAATGTAAAGATCCGCTTCAACCCCATCCTAAGTAGTAGCTAGAGGATTCCTAAGACGCACCTTAACTTCGTTGCGTTTCGTGGAAGGATCCTATTCTAGGGATCACGCAGAAACTTTTTTTTCCATAGAGGAAAAACTTCCTCGTGTGCCTTAACCCGTTCTGCTTCACAAGAGCAAAACGAATTCTGGCAACGGCAAAAATGTTATTTCTTAAAGTCGGTAATTTCTAGAGAGAGAGCAATTCAATTGTATGTGTAAGAAACAGTAAGGGTGAAAAATGCCATCCTGAGGCACTCCACTGCTGCAGAAAAACCTTTATCAAAAACTCTTCCCGACTTAAACGGTTTCGCCTGAGATATGAGGTGAACAAGAGAACAATTCGCCTCGGATATTGTTCAAATTCAACCACGTAATGGCTCGTTCTCATCAGAAACTTTGAACGGTTGTAATCCGTCCAAAAAGTCCATATTGTTGCGACTACAATTACGACAGGTTTATGTGCGACTTGCAAGCTTTGGGGCTTCGCACATATTTATGACGGATGCTCTCCAAATTTGACGATTCGACTTAAAAACTTCTCGGTTCCTATGCCTCCGAATTCCATTTCTTTTTTAATGAGCTTGATAAGCCAACTTCTAGCCATGCTGCTTCCTTCTTTTGCTAGAAAAATTGTAAAATCTCAGTTTTCAGCAGTTTTTGAAAAGATGCTCAGATTTTCTCTGTTGTAGTAAAAATCAGACGGATAATGCAGTTGTGGCTTACAACATAATATATAGTAAGTCCTCCATCCGATAAGACTTTTGTCGTAACAGTTGGGGTTATTTATTAGCAGAAGTTATTCGCTTCTTACATCTTTTCTACGCTTCTCTTGTAAACTAAAGTGGAAATGTAGAAATAAGTCATTTTCTGAAGCACATTTCATATAACTTTTTTTGAACGAAGATTTATGATTTTCATATATAAAATCTACAACACCGGAAAAAGGCAGGACGATGCCTCGTCGGCACCGAAAGAGATCACAAGAAGCATGTATCGACTATAAGAGAGGACATATACTCACAAAAAATGGGCTAGATCAATGCTTAGGAAGTCTTGCGTATGCAAAATCAGCCAGCATAGAGAATGGAGAAATACTCCAATGCAGCATGAAGGGTTTACACTCACCCGTTTGCAACGAAAAATATGCAAAAAATAGAGACCAATGGTAGATATCGAGAAGTTTGGGAACTATAACAGCCAAGTATTTGTGCTGTGGGGACAGAATCATACCGTGACTAGCGACCGGAGAGAGAAGGAGCTAAATGTTATAGGAATTTCTTGATGAGTCGAGGGCTCGTCACTGTGAGCTTTTGCGACTTTCGAAGAGATTTTCTTCCTAGAGACTTGAAATCGAGCGGAGAGTTCGGCACGCTTCCAAATCCCGACGAGTCTGCGGATCCACTGGCTGACTGAAAAAGTAATGTACGACTCGGTCATGGTAATTACAGCATAACCGTATCAGTCCGAAGTGTTTCCACATTAGAACCACTGACTTTTATCAAGCAAAATGACAGGGGAAAAAGTGATTTCATAGTTTTGCAAAAGTGAGCAAGCCAAAACTTTTCCTACATACGTTTTTGGTATCACTTGGCAGCGTTCACTCAAAATTTCGTCTTCCATGTTTTTATTGTTATCGGGCCTTTTCATGGCTCTGACTTCGGATATGAGGTTCAAATTACCAGAAAGCTCCAAAATCGCCCTTTCTGAAGCCCTATTTTGGCAGACGTGGACGGATGCCTCGGCGATAGTCACGTTGTATGCAACAAGAAACCTCGTCTTGTTAGTGCCACATCACAAACTATGCGTCTCGACGCTGCTTGTCATGTCGGAACACGACTACCCGTGGGTGGGTGTAGCGCAAAAAAGGGGGCGGAGCGCAAAGAAGATTCGATCTGTTACTTCCTTTCGTAGGCAACATTAGGGGAGCGGACCAACGCGATTGGTCTACTTTTAGGGCATGCTGGATAAGTCGAATCTGGGGTGAATGAATAGAATTTGGATGAACCCTGCCTTTAAAGGCACCGTCCACCCAAAATTTCGACTTCCATGTTTTTGCTGTTCCAGGGCCTTCTCATACCCCTGATTCCGAATATCAAGTCGAAAATAAGCGAAAACCACGAAAACCCCTGTTTTCAGAACCCGCAGAGCGATTTCTTCGATGCGGTGATTTGTTAAGCGCGCACGGATGGGCGGGACGAACATCACGCCCACCCGAAAGGGGAGGAGCCAGCGTCGCGAACGCGGCCAGAAGAGATTTCCAAAGCAACTTCAGGCAGCGCGAGTTGGGCAATCATACAGTTGGGGGCCCCGCAGCTGCTAGGTATCATAATCTCACTAACCTCAATTTGGGTGGACGGTGCCTTTAAGGTGACCTCAAAATTTCCTAGGAACAGTAATCTGTCATTGCGAGATCGTACACTTGAAACAGCACTTCCAAGCAGAGCTTTCATCTTATTATATCTAATCTAATAGCTAAGACGTAGTGATGCAAGAAAATTTTGAAATTGGAATTTTTTGCGATATTTAGTTGTGATGGAAGCTATGAAACACGTCTATGCAGCGTAACATAAGTTTCGCTAAATATCCTTCATCTCCCTCTAAAAAACTCTAGAAACTTCGGCGAAGTCTCATGTTTGACATATCTGGAGGCAAGAACAGAGGGGCGATCCAATGCCATCAGTTTTTTATAGACATATGCTTCCGTGAATATAGAGGTAAACTTCATCCACAATTTTTTCTTTGATAAATCCTCTCACTCTTCTTTTTCATATTCTTATATTTTCTACGGGCTTCTCGCCCCATCAGTACTGATACGAACCCAGTTCGTGAATTAACTACATATTTGATGACGCGAGTTGGAAATTTACAAAAAAATACTCGAGAAAACTTTAGATAATCAGAACTGTTATTGATGTGTAAGAGTACCCGAAAAGCTACAACCTTGCATTTCAAGATGTAGAAAGATCTTTGAGAAAGTTTAAAAATTCCGTCAAGTGTAACAAAACTTGCGTTACGATTTGATATGTTGCAAAAGTAATAGCACAATTCTGGACTGTTTCACTTGAAACTGTCGAGACGCAGACTAATTAGAGTCCGACAGTCCCCTCACCGACTTGGGCGGTGCCACCAACTTCAGATGAGCTGGCACTCCCCGGGTGCTCGGTGGTCCCCTCCCCAATTATGTTCCCCCATATTTATATTTATGTTTAACGATAAAATAATCTAGTCAGAACTGTTACGTTATTACAAAGGAAAGAAACTAAGGGTAGAGGGATCAAGTTGAGAGAATAGCTAACTCTTCAGACTTGACAAAACCAAGAATCAAGAGGTATCAATGACGGAAGGACGGTTGTTTCTTCAAACGATTTGACTATGGTAGCTTTGTTGAAGAACCCAAAACTAGTGAAGCAGAAGGAAACAAAAAAGCTCACCTGTAATACGGCTCTGATCGTTTCATGCCCATACATAGTCGCAACATCTAGGGCTGTTCTTCCATCCAGATCTTTTAGCGAAGGTTCAGCACCCATCCTCAGCAAAAGTACTACCATCTCACGATTACCCTGCTGAGCTGCAACCGAAAGCGCTGATGCGCCCTAAAATGGATAATTTGATTGTAAGACTTAGAATTTTTCAAAAATACACACCTGTTCATCAACTGAATTTGGGTTGACTCCAACAGTTTCTAGGAGGTAAGCGGCCATTTCTAGATGTCCATTCCAAACCGTAGTCAGAAGTGGAGTTCTGCCTCCGGAGTCAACTGCTTCGAACGAGGCAGCCAATCGCCGGAGCATTCTTGCACCGCACATGTCGTTTATGGCACATACCTACAAGTTCCATACAGGACCATTAGGGCTTGGTCAGAAAATCATGCCGTCGAAATCAAAGCTTAGTGCTCACCACGTGCGCACAGGTCCTTCCATGAGCATCCCTAGACGAACTAAATGCTCCCAAGGTAAGCAGTAGCTCGGCCATAGCTGTCTGGAACAAGTATATTTTTTTTCGAGTGTGGGATATAAATGGTAAATTTTGATTTTGGAAATGATCTTTTTGCGTCTTCCTGTAGCGCTCAGAAAATTTTTATTTTATCTACCTGTTTATTTATGAGCAATGTGTGAACCAAAGGAGTCCCTTCAATATCTTGTTGCTCCCAATCAGTGATGTGCTCTGCTAGCACCTAGAAGAACTATATATAACAATATGTTCATTTATAGTGGACTATCAAGACTCACTCTAACAATTTTTGCATTGCCTGATAAGGCTGCAACCCGTAGCGCACTTTGACCATTTATAGAAAGCTGTTCGACTGGAGCACCAAGACTGAGCAACTCCCGAACAACCTGGAATCAAAATTTCTTACTTCTGATCCAGCAAAAAGAACCTCTTGCTCACCTCTTCGCTCTCACCCTGGCAGGCATTTATCAACGGGTGGTTGCCCGAACGATCAGCAGCATGGACGGTGACTGATGTAGCTAAAGCTCGGCATAGAGTGACATCACCATGAGCTACGGCGTAATGAAGAGCTACTGCACCATCGTTGTCCTATAGTACTTATTTTTACTTATTTTTAAAAACTTCACATTGCATTCTCGGAAGTTTCAAAGCTTCAAAAAAATATTAGAAGAAATGGAAACCAAAAAACACTAAAATACAAAAAAGAAGCCTCCGTTTGTTTCACTAGATTGTATGGCTGAAAACTCTTCACAAAAACGGAAACATTTTTATTTTGTAAGAATGTAAGATGAAATCGAGCGATATCGTACAAGATAGTGGTCGCGTTGATCCCCACTTTGAAATTTTTGTTCCGGTATTAGCTTATGGAATAATTTAAAGCGGAATAAAAAATGATGCACCAAGTTTAAACCAGTAATTCTTAATACACAGTGGGGTAGTGCACACTTGGTTGAAGGTAGGGGAATAGCTAAGATTATGAACCACTCTGGGGTCTATAACATGACTGAAAATAAGATTTCTACCTTATGTGCTTCATCTGCGCCTAAGGCAAGGAGTACATCAACTACAGGTAGATGCCCATGAATTGCTGCTAGCTGAAAAGCCGTCCTTCCATCTGAGTCGATGCAGTCGATATAGGCTCCTAAAAATCACACATACAGGGTTGGGGGAAAGTCTTTGAACACGGTATTTTTAACGTATTGATGAAGCTAGGCGAGATAATTATATGAAATTAGTAGGTAATGTTTACTTAACTGTCTGCTACACAAAACTGGCTTTACAATTCGAAGACTCCTCCTTTGACGCGAGCGCAAGCCCGCAAACCCTTGAGAACGCTGTCCATGGTGGCACGTAGGTGCTTTACGTCGATTTCTTACAACGCCTTCTGAAGAGCCAGTCGCAGAGACTCAACAGTCATGGGTGGGTGAGCGCAGGCTTTGGCCTAAAGAACTGACCACGGGCTGTAGCTGGGGGTATTCAAATCCGGCCAATACGGAGGCCATTCCGCAGGAGTTATGAACACCTTGATGTTGCTTTGGAGCCATGCTTGAACAAACTTCGCTTTGCGCGCAGGTGCGCTATCCTGCTGGAAACACCAATCGCTCCTGGCAAAATGGTATTGGTTTAGGTCAACAATCCCTTCTTCAGGATGCTATCCACTTGCGTAGCGGTGTACACCTCGATGTCCTGGGACACCAAAATCGCCAGCATCTTGCTGTCGAAAGCGATCGCCACGCAAACCATTACAGAAACCGGATGAAGCTTTATTTCTGCTAGTCAACCCTTGCTATTGGCTTCTGGGAGCAATTAGGTGATGATCATGTTGTTTGGCGATCAAAAACGCTCCTCACGGTGAAAATTTTGACGTCAGAAAAGAGTATCGTTCGGTGGCGTGCCTTGGAGAGACGTTCAAGCAGTCGATGGCATCTGCGCAGTCAATTCAGCTTCCTGTCCTCCCAAAAGCATGGAATTTTAGTATTCTGAAAAGCTTCATCGCAAGGCCCTCTTTTACAATGTCGGAGACTGTCCTGCCAGAGATGGACAGCTCTGAAGCCAACTCAATCAAGCTTCGCTAAGGATTGCGACGAAGGCGTTGGCAAACGGTTTTCAAAATTTCCTTACCGTCGCAGTAGCCAATTTACCACTCATACAACAGTCCTGGGTGCTGTTCATATCCTGGAAACGATGCAAGGTGGAAAAGACGCTGATCTGTGAGATTTGGGGAGCCCGCGCAATCTGCTGGTCACCCATCCTCTCTCCGTGCATCTTATCCACCAACACTCGCTGCGTTCCAGTAGGCATATCTCCAACAGGAAAAAAGCTAATAGTCCAGTTTTTTGAGGGCTTGTACTAAAGAGTATAAGAAGCAAATACATATAATTATTACGTAAGAATATGTGGAAAATCCGAACATACAATGACATCAAAAATTGTTCAAAGACTTTCCCCCAACCCTGTATAATAAAACTTTGGACTGATAAATTGGCCCCTATTTCCACATCAGTGCGAAATTAACTTGCAGCTTCTCTGGTTATTGTAAATTCAAACGTAGAACAACTTTTTTTGAGAAGCATCGCGTTTAGTCGCGTTTGATAGCTTTGTGAAAAAAGTTGTAGAGACTTGGAAGATAGCTGATTAGTAGAAACAAAGAGCCTAAGCTGACACGTACCATTCTTCACCAGCAAATCCACAGCCTCTAATTGACCCTGACTTGCAGCCAACATCAATGGAGTTCGTCCCAGTGAGTCCTAAGATCAAAAATTACGGTTCATCCGGTACAGCGGTAGAAGCATACTTACTTGCACATCGATACAAGTGGAACCTATGAATGAGCTCAGATTTTTGTCACCATAGTAAGCAGCTAAGTGAATGCATAAACGGCCATGAGCATCCGCCATGGTCACATCACTTCCTCCTATAAAAACACTTAGGTTCTAAGGAAATCGTAAATTTCTTTATAAGTGATTAAGACGATGTTTGAATGCTTCGGCACCATTTTGGACTCCTTATAAATTCTAAAATTTTGTAACACTGCAAATACTCGCTCAAAAAAAATCAGAACGATTTCGCTCTGCAACTTTTATGGTAACAAAATTTGAGATGTGCTCAAAACGAATGCTGGCAATAATAATCTCAAAAACGGTTTTTACAAATAAAGCACTTGATTTTTCCCTAACTCACTTTTTATGAGCGTTTGCACAGTCTTGTCATGAGCTTCGGTCTTGGATCCATTTGATAATGCCAGATGTAAAGCAGTGGCTCCAGCTGAGTCGGTTTCCTATATCATGTAATTTTACACATCTCCTATGAGAGATGATTATACAAGGTCCAACCGAGATCTTTGCACCGTGATCAAGCAATAAATCCACAATCGCCCAGTGGTCCATGAACGCCGCTGCCATCAGTGCAGTTCGATCTTCCGAGTCTTTGCGATCAACGTTGGCAGAGGCTTTCAGCAGTCTCTCGACAATGGCCCGATGGCCAGCCCTGAAGAGATGGTGAATGGTCAAAAAGCAGATCATCGAAGATTAATTCCGAAATACTCAAGTTTAAATGGAATGTGGCAGTCAGAAAAAGAGCAGAAAAATTGGAACATACCATGCAGCTCCGCGAAGAGCAGTTCGTTCACCGCTACCAACTTCATCCACGTCTATACCACTGCCTGAAAGCAAGTTGATTTGAAATTTTATAAATTTGCATGAAATTTCAAAAAAAAATGCGAATGTTCAAAGTGTGACTAATGCTGATCTACATCGGTTTTGTGGTACTAATTCTAGGTAAGGTTCTGAGAGGAGATAGCTAGAGAGGAAACATAAACTGAATATCAGAGTTAAGTTTATGGCGAGAAATTATTTTTACTGACTTTGTTTTAGGCGAGACTGCTCATCTCTACCCACTTGCACCATACCGTTGGGCCGTCCAATCAAACATTTCTCCGTCTACAGATTTTTTTGTTCCAATTTCTATCTACTTGAACAAAGCTATAATCAGTATGCGATTGGTAGCGACTGATATTTTAAGCTCTAGCAAAGCTCTTGATAAGGTGAAGTTGTAGTCGAGTAGACAACGAGCACTTGCTGAATATTTTTTTCAAAAACGAGTGGCAGATAGCCAATGTGTGTTGCAGTTCTCATACGGCAATATTCTGCAACACAAGAAGCTGAACCTCTATTTTCTTTCCCTCCCTTTTTTAATAGACCCTGAATGTGATAGTGGAACGAAAAACACGAAATCCAGCTCCTTATGCTTCCAAATCTATTAGGTTGGCTAATAAATAAGTTCGGTCGCTTTTGCGGCTCTTACAAATGCTGCAGACAAATTTTGTCTAGTGTTTAGTATCTTTATAAAGAGCACTATAGTGAGAATTGGCGTGTGAATTCTGTTTGTATAGAACTTATCTTCCATATGAGAAATCCGCAAAGAAGTGAAAACACCCGAAATTTCTCATAGTGCGCAGATATAAGAAAATCTGGTTTTTCCAATGAAAGATTTTGAAAGTGGCAGGTCACAAATTCCATTTTTGTTGACTGAATAGGAAAACTCCTCTGTGTCCAAATACTAAACTGCTAATCTCTAAATCTATTGCAGCATGAAAACGAAGCTTAGGAAATCAAAGAATTGGACTCTTGGAAATTTAGCCATGTTGAGTTATAACTGTTTTCACTGATAATAGTAAATCCTAAATATTTGATATGTGATAGAGGAAACCTTAATCTACTTTCTCACAAAAAAATCATGGATAGAAAACCAACAAGGAAATTTTTATATTTGCATGCCAAACGACTTCTTAGCCAACCTAATATCATTACAAATTACCTCACCCTTCGCAACACTGCTGAATAGCCTCAAACCGTGTCATGCTCATAAAGCACTCTTGCAGGCAAAGCAGTCATTCACAAGCCCTATTGGGAAGCAATGTATATTTATAGGGCATTAATTTTTGACTAAAAGAGGGTACTTAGCCGGAGGATTAGCGCTGATCCAGATGGCAGCGCTCCATTAGGCAACAATTACTCGGGCAATACACTGGCAGCAAATGAATGCAAACAGCAGTAATGGAATCGTTCAAGAGTCTGATTGGATACTCGTTGAGTAGAGAGCAGTGAAGGCATGAACTGACCGTGGCTGAGCAGGAGGTCGAGCACTTCCAGGTGGTTGTTACAGGCAGCACTTCGCAAAGCATTCCATTGCCCGTTACATACGGAGTTCGCTATCTGAAGTATGCTTATTAAGGAACGAATTAGCATTATTGAGTATAGCTGAGTTCATGTGATCATCTCAGCTTTTGAAAATATAGCAAAAAATCTCAAGTCCCCGGAATTTTCCACCTGGTTAGAAAGCATACAACATTATTGAGACAAAATTTACTGCTTCATTCATAAAACCCGAACTAATGACATTTCTCGCTCCTCATAAACCGAAGATAGATAAAATCAAAGCCAAGTCATCGTGAAATACACTGTGTAGGGTTTACTGGGGATGTAACTGTGAAAACGGCCACTCATGGAGGGAAAAAATTTTTTAAGCGTTGACATTGACTACATTGCTGAATGCAAATTTTTGCCTTTTCATGAAAACTGCCCAAAAAATAGAATATGTCAATTCTTCACTTCAGAATCTAGATACAACCTTTCACTTTCAGAGTGACATCAACTTTTTAGCCATTCTATGGCAAGAGAGAGTCTACCCACCATCACTGATGGTTCTGGTTATGCAAAATTAAGCAAATTTTTTTGCAAAAATGCGTATACGTTTCTCAAAAGGTTCCTTTGGTAGAGAATTAGTACAAATTTAGAACGTGCGTCAAATATGTTTATGGAGCATTTCTTACCCTAAAGTCACTGCATGCAAATAAAACATTAAACGAGTATATTCTCCCTCTTACAAGAAAAACAGCTTTTGAGGGAGTTGAGATGATCTGACATTTCTGCCATACAATCGCGCTTTACAAAGCTTTAGATAAAAATTGTTTTTGCAAAGGTCACTTAACCATAAAATAGAGTGAGCTCAAAAATATGGAAATGTTTGGTAGGAGAAGTCCAACGTAATATCTGCTAATACTTATTAGCAGAGCTCACCTGTGGGCGATATTGAAGTATAGCCGAACAGACCTTCACTTGACCACGAGACGATGCTGCTAACAAGCCAAGCGAGAGCTCCTTCAAAAAAAACTTCTTTTGAAGTGAAGGAGTTATGATGAAGTTAGAATGAAGATTAAATTGATTCCTTTTTGAATTCAGCAGAAAACTCGTGGTCCAAAAAGCAAAACAACACAAAAATGAAATGCAGCAGAGTAGAAAATTTCGATTTTGAAGCTACTCACCAAATCAGTGAGCGATGTCATCTGCTTTTTGACCATTTCCAAATCACCGGTGGAACACATGTAGATAAAGTCATCCTGAAAAACATCACTTCGGTGTCATAAGCGAAATTCTTTTAACCACCGCAATGGTCCACTAAAAAATCCTTAAGCACCGAAGTCAGAGGAAAATATCATCACCCGCGACTAATAAATCTCAAGGGCTTTGTCCTTTGGGTCAATTATTTCCCAGTAATTTCCTATGAGCTGTCAGCTAATAGTGCGCACATCAATGGTCCCTGAGCGCATTTCTCATACCTCAGCATCGGCGAATTTGCATTCACTAATGTCGTGCGCCTAATGATCCGCTTCGCATAGCTAATTTTCGGATTAGGAAGCGGTTCTTGGAAATTTGTCGCAGGATCCGATTGCATGGATTCAAACGCTGCTTACATTAGGAGAGAGTTCTTGCATGACGGCTCCAGCTTTCGACAGAAGTATGGATGTGGGCACGTCGATCACCGAACATTTTAAAATGAGATCACCGGCTCCAACTGAGGAGAGAGTGCGAATTGAGTCCAGTGGTGGAACAGCTGAAACAAAACAATTTAGACAAAATGAACAATACAAAACTCTTGAATATCTCTTGTATCTCTATCTCATGAATTTTTTGGTGTTTCATAAAAATTTCGTGCATCAAAGTACGACAAAATTTCAAACTAGACTGATATTTGGCACTATATAAAACTGAAACTAAATGAGAGGTAAGAGAGCTACAAAATTGATAAATGTCTGGAACGACGATGAAAACAAAGGATATTTTTCCGCAAAAGAAAATTTATGATTATTCGAGGAAACATTGGATTTTCCATAAAACCCCCAGATACCACTTATAATCTCATTCTTTTTCCCTTTTACTTACTTAGATACTTACTTAGATACTTAGATGGCCCGGCTTCACGTGACGTGCGGGCCCCAGCTCAGAAGTTTCTATTTCTCCCTGTCCCTCGCTTCTGACATCCACGATCTTCTTGGCTGACGTCGGTGGCTGCGTCCACGAGTTCCAGGTGCAAAAATCGTATCCAGCTGATTTCTCAGCTGGTCCATCCGTTCCACGAACACGTCTGCCCATCTCGTTGGTGGTCTTCCTCGGGGACGTTTTGCTTCGCGAGGAATCCACTCCGATGTTCTTAGTGTCCATCTGTCGTCTGTTCTTCTCATGATGTGACCGGCCCATCGATGCTTCGCTTTCGCAACGTAATCCGCTGGGTCACGAAGACGGGACATTCTCCTCATATCCGTACTGCGAAGTCCGACGAGATGTTGTTTGTGTCGGGTCATCTTCAGAAGACTACGCTCTAGCGCTCTGTGGGTGGTCCTCAAAGCTTACGAAGTGGCGACGGTGTCAGCCCAAGTCTCAGCTGCGTAACAGAGCGCCGGGAGAACGGTTGAGTCGAACAGGTGGCCACGAAGCTCCGGGTCCGTCAGTTGGTCGGTGGCTTCCTTCAGAGGCCCGAAGGCGGCTCAGGCTGCTCTTCTTCTCCTGTTAAGTTCTTCCCTCAAGTCGTTCTCCATGTTCATCGAACGTCCGAGATACACGTAAGAAGACGTCTCCGTAATAGGAGTGCCTTCCAATTCCATTTCTGCATCTTCGCAAAGGGCGTTCTTCATGAACTGAGTCTTCTTCCGATTGATTCGCAATCCGATCTTCTTCCCTACTTCGTTCAGTTCCTTCAGCATCGTCTCTGCTTCAGTGATACTGCTCGAAAAGAGAACGATGTCGTCCGCAAAACGAAGGTTCGACAGGAATCTCCCATCAACTCGTATGCCTCTCTCGTCCCAGTCCAGTGACTTCATCACCCACTGCAAGGCCGCGGTGAACAGCTTCGGCGAAATTGTGTCGCCTTGTCGAACCCCCTTCCCAATTGGGATGGTCAGGGGGCGATGGAATAGCTGCATCGTCGTTGTACAGTCCTTGTAATAGTCGGCTAACGTCCTCACGTAAGCTGGGTCCACTCCTTGATCGACTAGCGCAGACAGGATGGCGTTGGTTTCGACGCTGTCAAAGGCTTTCTCGTAGTCGACAAAGGTTAGGACGAGAGGCAGTCGGTATTCCCGGCAGACTTCTATGACCCTCGAAACCGTCTGGATGTGGTCCATGCAGCTGAATCCTTTGCGAAATCCAGCTTGTTCTTGGGGTTGGGCTTCATCCAGTGTCCTACCCGTTCACCCTTCTTGAAAAGAAGGACGATTCTTGATGTTCTCCACTGGTCGGGAATCCTTTCCTTCTGAAGGTAAGTTGTTAGGTGCGACGCGAGGATCTCGTGTAGACGTTGTCCTCCAGCTCGCAGAAATTCGACGGAAAGATGGTCTGGTCCTGGAGCCGTGGACGTCTTCATGGTCTGAATCGCTGTGCGCACTTCAGCAGGTAGAATTCGTGGTGGTACTTCTCCAGTGGGAACAACGGGCATCGGCACGGGTGTTGATGAGCGGAAGAGGTTTGTATAGAAGTTCTTCGCGATAGATTCCATCTTGTATCGGGAAGAAGTCGGAGTCCCGTCTTCGTTCAATAGTGCAGCCAGCGGTACGCGATATTCACAGAGGTCCCTTCGGCACTTCTTGAGACTTCGTCTTCCTTCGGCTGCTTCCAGTATCTTGGCTTGCCTGTACTTCCTGAGATCCTCCTGCAAAGCTGTTCTGCAACTGGCGTTGGCTATCAGTCGCTCGAGAGGGTTGCATTCGGATCCTGCCTCAGAAATCTCCTTCTTTCAAGCATTTCCTTGGTGGTCTTCGAAACGCGTTCAACATACTTCTCGGAAGTCACTGAGGCGCACTCTCCACAGGCTCGCAATCCTTTCAGAAGCCGGTCGTAGTCGTACGTTGGGTCCTCTTCGATGGGCCAGTCACAACTTGATATGAGCTCCTCCAGCCTGTTACCGTCATAAACGACATTCTTCCTTCTTGCGGCACTGTGGCAGACCTTCTTTTCCAGCCTTCGACTGAATCGTACCTTCGCTCGAAGGAGGCGGTGATCGGAGCCACTGCAGAAGGATGGAACTACAGAGATATCGAGCAAGCTCCACCTTCGGTTGGTGAGAATGTGGTCGATCTCCGCGTGGGTCGTTCCGTTGGGCGATTCCCATGTCCACCGGCGATGTTCTTTCTTCATAAAGATAGAATTTCCATGGAAAAGTCGTGCGGCGGAGAGAAGCCCAACAAGACGGTTGCCGTTTTCGTTCCGGAGCCCATATCCAAACTTCCCGATCCTATATTCCGGGCGGAGGACATTAGGTCGCCTGAAAAGGGCGGTCCTCGCGGTCGTTTGCGACAAATATGCAGCCTTGTACATGCGCGGACATGCGTTCCTGCAGGGGATCCGCACAGGACTCTTCTAAATTCGGCGACCTAATGTCCTCCACCCCTATATTCCTTTTCCAGTGGCATCCCGATTTTCGCGTTGAAGTCGCCCACAACAAACTTATAAAAGGACTTCTCGTTGCGGACGACCTCCTCCACATCTTCGTAGAAAGCATCTAGTTCTGATTCGTCAGCTGCTGATGTTGGAGAATAGCAGTTGATGATGCTGATGGTCTTCTGATGTGGAGGCCGTAGTCGTAAGATGCTTAGTCGAGGTGATAGGATCTCGTGCGAATCGACAAGATGGACGATAGATGGGTGGACGACAAAGCCGACGCCTCCCACGTTTCGTGATGGAACCTTTTCACCACGAATGATGAGGGTCCCATCACTCATCTGTCGCACGTCCTTCTTCCTGGACTTCGTTTCCTGCAGAGCGATGATGTGGTAGTTGATGTGCTCTGCAGCGTCGAGAAGAGCGTGTAGGTCGGCGTTTGTGGAGACTGTCCTGGCGTTGTAGGTGCAGAGCATGAGGCAGTCTCCATGGCGTGTCGTCCGGGCAGACGTGTCGTTTTTGTACGATTCAGAAGACGCCCTAAGGACCCTGACATCGTTCTTGCTACCACCCGGCGCCGTAGGCGGGATCCGATGTACAGGGTATTTTCTAAATCTTCTTGCTGTCTGAGTAATAAAATTTGTTCCCCTACAAGAGGTGGCTTACAAGGCCTACTCTTGATTTCCACGGGGCAATCGTTGACCCCGGGCTTGGAGCGGGGAGGGACCGCCTAGCGACCAGAAGAAGCCAGACGGCGGAGGATCTGGCGTGGCCAGTTCTTAGCTAGGCATCCGGCCGAAACCGGAAACGTCGAACTCCTTCACAGCTTGGGAGGCCCTACCAGAGTATACACTCGGCTGTGCATCGCAGTTCGACACCCAGTGTCACCCCCACGCCACGATGAGGCGACCGACCATTGTGGGGGCTTTTTCCCTTTTAGATTTCTCATACTCACTTATCCCAATTTTTAGCATTTGAATCTTGAGATTTTTCGGAAACAAATATTCTCGTCATATGATTTCTGTAAACATTTCCAGATTCTTTGAAGTGTCCCACGTTTTCTTCCATTTGGAACCCTGGGCCCTTTTTGGTTCCTGCCTCTCCCAGAGAATAAGCAGCGAATTTTTTTGGATGTTATTTTACATGAGTTATAAGCTTACATTAACTAGTATTGCAGATACTTACACTAGAATATTTCACCGAGTAACAACTCGTTTTGTCACCCCATGCTGCAACATTAAAGTTTCAAATTTGCAAAAATGTAAAGGAATTTTAAAAGTAAAAAATGAGTAGACTTAGCAACGAAAAATCTTACAAAACCACCTAACTCCCAGCTTACTGATACGATGTATATTCCTTGTTTTCTCTTGGAGGTACTGGTATCTTTGTTATGCAAAGCTGAGAAAGCAGAAAACATCTATGCTGATATACATCTTCGTTTATGAGAAAAACAAAGTTTTTTAATCTTATAATTTTTCCGCTAAATGTTCCCAGTGTACCTCCTCCTATTACTTCCCCTTCTCCCCCACTACTCATTTCCTTTACTAGTACTCAAGCGACTCTATCAGCAATCTGCCTATTACCACGGTCAGATGATTGACAAAGGGTGGCGGAGGCGAGAGATTTGGCGGCACGATAGCGGCGTCTTCGAGCGACACATTCCTCCACCGATAACCTCTTAATTATCATCCGCTCATCGACTCTAATTGAAGAGGACAGCGATGTGGCAATGCAAACTGACCCATGGCCCTTTGTCATCAGGTGTGTGGGACAGGTTGCGTCATAACGATGGAAGGAGCAGAATGAGAAAAGAACAATGAGGAAGGCAAGAATTATGAGCAAGAAATGGAGAGTACGATGATAAAACATATCCTGTCGATCCGGTATTTCTGAATGCTCATGATATGATCGCAAAATTACGAAAGCAAAAGTGTCTAGTGGGAAAAAAGGAATTCAAATCGTCAGTTTGAGAAAAGTGTTTTGCTCAAAAGATGCAACTTTCGCGAACCAAGGAGACTATCATTTCGTCATATTTCGCTACAAAGAAAACTTTCATTTTCTACATTTGCTAAATTAGAAAACTTCAGAAATCTCGAAAATGTGACTTATGAAAAACTTCGGGTTCTTTCCAAAATTTCTGAAAAATTGACCTTCTATCATAAAAAACTTCCATGAAAAGTTCATAACCCTTGAAGTACAAACAAATTCACGTTGCGTAATGAGTAAGCAGTAGTTAGTTTTTGTAAAAAAAACCAAATAAGAAAGATGATGAAATTTCTGAATGAAAGAAAAAATCTGTTGTGAAAGAGCAATTTATCAACGCCAAAAAAATCAACAAATTTGAAAACTAAAAAACTGAAACTCACTCGAATGTGCCAGATGGTAAGCCATCTCAACCACATCCTGTGGAGTCTTTCTTCGCTTTGTTTTGTAAAACTCAGCCCAAGCAGTGTGGTAAGGAGATAAATCCCCTTCGATATCCGTCCAAGAGCCGGAAAGGGTTAGGGGGTCTAAAATTAAGATAATCATGAAATTAGTATAACAAAACGACAGAAAGTCTTCAATACCTGTGGTTTTCAGAATGATGCTCAGAGCTGCTACTTCTCTTTCTACTATTTGAATGTTCTCTCGAACTATCAGTTGACTGACAGCAAGAAAAAACGCCAGCGGTGGAGGTTGTCGAGACGCCTGAAAAACTTCATTTTTCCTCAATAATCCCCACAAAGGTTGTCTGCACCAATGCCTTGTTCTCGTTAGTGAGTAAATTGCAAAGGAACATTGAAAAATGGCTCTCATTGCTACCCGTGACCAGTGGGCCATGAATCAACCCCTGACGTACCTTAATCAAAAGCAGGTAAATGGGTAATCGTTGCGGTAGAGCAAGACAGAGGTCATCCATCAAGTCCTTGATGCCGCAGGGTATACGATCGGGAGGAATGATGCCGGCGTCGACAGCTCGTGCCAGTTGATCAACGAAAAACCATGAAGCCTAGAAATTCTTTCAATTTTTTTCCTATATTAAATTTGCAGTATACTTATTTATGTAAGCGAATTCAATAAAAATTTGAAACTAGAATGGGCTTGTTTCCAAATAAAGATGCTGCCTGAGGTGACCTGACAAAATGATAACGTTATGAACTGTTTTGATATGAGCTATTTTGATTCAACTATTTCGGGAACTTTAAAGCTTATCTTGACTGCGCGCAAAATTCAATTATTTTTTTTTCTATTAAGTGCACCAAGAAAGGTGTAGACAACTGCTGAAAATTGGCAGTTTCTGTGTTTATTGAAGAAAATTTTCAGACACATGCTGAAAATGCGTAAATTCCGTGCTTAAAAAAGAACAGATATTTACTTTTTTCTACATAAAGTTCATCATATCTCTTGTGGAGATTTGAAACATAACAAATTTTTAGGAAAAAAATACATTATTCTAGATATACTGCAATTGAAGTATGATTTGCGACAGATAAGAAACAGCAAGAGTTCAGGAAATTACGATCATTTATGTGGGCAGAAAAGATAAGATTATTCATGAAATTATTTTATGCAACAGTTTTTCTCATTACTATTATGATAACTCACCTCACAAGCATCCAAAACTTCATTATGAATACATTGTGGTAGTCGAACTTCGATGAAACGATCCAGCTCATCAATGCCTGCATTATTTGATTTCAAAGATTCTAGAGAAATTCTTCGTTGTCTAATTACCACTAACAGCCAGCCACCAGATATATAAAGAAAATTCGGAATACTCACAATCGCTGAGGACCAAGTCATGGAAACGTTCGAATTTGTGCTGATCAGACGGTGCCAAAGGTCGTGTCGTCACAATCAGTCGCATCCAAGATGGGAGTGAGCGGTTTATCTGTAAAAATTTTGATATCCCCCTAATTGTGACCCTTTGTTTGCCATGCTACCCCATGCTCGGTGAGCATATCACGAGCTAATGCCAAGTCGTAAATGCCCTCTTTTGCCTCCTAATAGCGCACTAAGGCGCTCAGTTGGGTGCCGCCATGGATCACGGATTAGAAAAGATGAAAACGCGCCGTCTCTGAGGTGTCGTCAATAGCGGACTTGACTCAGCGAAATGAAGATTAATTAGCAGCACACAAAAATGTTGGGATTGTTAATCCCATAGAAAATCACCCGAGTCAAGTTGATTTTGAAGTCAACGGAAATATCCTAATATGAAATCAAGAATTTTGTGTGCTACTTCTTCTACGGCCCCCAGCAATTGCGGCATTGATCTATTAACATTATAAACACTACATGCTAAGTTAAAGAGCATGATACTGGAAGACGCAAATACATTTTCAAAAAAATGAGGAAATGAGGACCTAATTCCCTCCCGCGCCCTCCACCACCTCAGCCCGGATAGTTTTCATTGGCAACTGTACAAATAACTTGTTATCCCAGTAAATTTAGAACAATTCAAAAACATTTGCAAAACCAAATTTTTTCCGTTGAGGCACGCGAATTTTCGTGTTACTCCCAGATTTTTCGAAGGCGTACCCCTCTTCAAAACGCTTAAGAAGTGGTGCCCAAAAAAACTCCGAGTAACACGCTGTCGGAAGGTGTAAGTTGCTAGATATTTTTCCAAGATATAAACCCTAGAGAACCCATATTCATAAATATCGCATGCTTTTTTCCACAAGATTTCCGAACGAATCAAGCCGATTTGATGCTTCTTGACCGTTTACAATTTTGGAGAGTTTGCGTAGATTCAGCACTGATCCAATTTTATTTACTTACTTTTATTTATTTTATCACAAATTCACCAGAGAGATCTGCATATGCGGGCTCCAAGAAATGTTAATGAATCTACAACACTCCACAACCAATTTTTAGCGCGTAAATTAAAAAAAGTTGAATTACTCATATATCGATGGGGATATCACCCTACTCCTTCTCATTCTTTTCATGGAATAGATGTTAGATTTTTCATACTAATACTCGAAAACCCCTAATATTATGCATCTGCCAAACTCTCAAAATCACTATGAAATAAGATATCTCGTCCTCGGTGTTTACGCAAGGAACCGGCACCGTAACGATGACATTGAGTCGTGGTGGCGCCCCTGAGCCGGAACAAAGGCCACTCATAACCGAGACGAGGATGTGTGCAAAAACAACAAACAGCTCCTCATCTGTTCGTCGTTCCCATGCCAAAACTCCCGATTGTCTTTGTTTTTGTTTTTCCTAGAAGCCAAAAGCTAAGAAAAGCTGAGACTCACCGAAAGAACAAGCTCATAGATGTGTGGCAGTATGTTATCGATGAGAATGAACAACGGCTTCGATGGATGAGGTAACGAAGCCATCGGCAGTGTCAGATACTGCTCTAAGGCGTTGTCATAGTCGGCGAGTAGAGTCAGGGTGGAGAGTTTCGGCAGGACCAAGTTTGGAAAGCGTTTCGTGAGCTGGGTACCGATTGAGCGAAGCAGAGTGGCAGATTCGGATGTGTCAGCCGATTCAGAAAGGCAGAAGTGTGATGCGACACAGTCGGCGCTGTTCTGGATCTGAAAATATGGAATTAAATTCTTTTCTAAACAACTCTGAGAAGCTAAAGTAAATATTCACGTTCCGAAAAGTATTCAACCCTCCCCCCCCCCTTCCTTCTTAGCCACTTAATACAGAAATCAAATGCTGCACTCTTGATGTAAGCTCTCAAGGAGATGCTAAAACAAACACAGACGTCTAGCCAGATGTGTGGTGTCAAGTCACCGCTAAGGACAGATGAGTGTGAATCACCATAATGGTCATCATAAGTGCAACTGGAATCATGCTTTGGTAGTGCTGCACATGGTGCATCACCAAGTTTGCATGACTTTTACGGATTCCGTCGAAGCTTCGTTTAGATCCAAGATTGCGCTTTGAAACTGGGCGCAGAATTCAAAGCAGACGTGCTACACATGGTGCATCATCGAGTTTCAAAGCTCGATTACGCTGCCGTCTTTTTTCTGATAGGTGCGCTTAAATTTTTGTTTGTAAAATCAAATAACTATGCAGTCCCAGCTTGTGCTACACACGGTGAAGCTTCTCATTCTGCCACGCAATTTTGCAGTGTCGACCGTAACAGTAAGCATCAAAAGTGCTATCGAACTTGTTTGTTTCAAAATATTTTTCCAAAAACTATGTCCCTCATAAATCGCGAAAAAAAAACTTAAACTTTCAAAATCTAAAATTGAAATGCGCATAGATTTGAATATTCGCGCCTAAATAACTGACAATAATTCGCATCAAGAGATTATCTGCTATTTGCAAATGAACCCATAAACTGGTTATTGAGGAATATTACAGCATTGTACGATCAAGAAGCCAAAGAGTTACAGTTTACCATCAAATATTTATTTACTCCCCCCCCCCCCCCCCTCCCCTTCAACATTTATCATGTATACTATACTTTTTGCTTTTCTTAGAATGAATAGTTTCTATTGAAATATCAAAGGAATTATTTTCCCAACTTGCCAGCTGATATATAGGAACATAACTAATTTCTAATTTTTTGGCTAGAATTCAAAAAAACTTTTTGTGCAATGAGTGGAATTACTGCCTCCCTCCCCCCCTCCTCATCTACAGCTATTTTTACAAGAGTTTTCCCCTTTCGAACCAATACTTTCATCAAATGCTCTCACTTCAGAAATGTATTTGTCAAAAAGCTTCGTTTTCCTTACCTCAGAAAACATTTTTGTTATTGTAGAGGTAAATAGTTCATTGTTCCACATTTCCCTTTGCCTCTGAACCGCACATACTTACTACGTATGACGAATCCCTTCGAAAATGCAAGCTCCTCAGGTTTTATGACTGACAACAGAAGCTGCTTGACTGCGAATGAGGTACATATTGGCCCTCGTTTGTTGGACGCTGGTCAGCCAATTTTGTTTACGGCCCTGTTTTGAGGAGCCACTGAATGGAAAAGGCTAGATACTAGTCGTTGATTTTCAAGAGATGGCCCTCGAAAGTCTACTTCTCCAACAAAAACATGCGCAAGTTTGCTCCGAATGCACAATCGGCGAAGTTCAAAGACAAATGGTCCCGTCTCCAAAGCCGATGAGAGATCAACAACGTCTCAGGGGGTCGATTGGGAGAAGCCGCTACCTACTTAGTCTCGGTCAAAGACTGCTGAGACTCTCTAGATGAGCTCTACCCTTGGTCTGGAAGAACGCAAGAACGCGTTCGTCTGTCCTAATTCATTTTCGTGAGACGGGGAGGGGGGGGGGGGGTAGAGGGAAGGGGTTGTTTAGAGGCAGTCGTCCATATGCAATTGACCCGAACATCGCCACCACATGAGGCTATTAAGGGTGGTCGGGAGTGCATTAAGAGGCCCCATCTTGACACTGACACATTTCGGAACAGAGCTAGGCCCCTAGCCAGCCACTAATGCATGTCAAATCCATCACAGAGAGTAGGGGGTAAAAACCAGTCCTACTCCTAAGTTATAGGGTTACTGTAGCTAGCAGGGGCTGGTTGCTTTTTTCGATGGCTTTCGCTAGTTTTATTGGGTCATCTGTCACCATTCGTAACGTCATCGACAGTGGTGACAAACGCTATTCGAATGAGGTCTAACACCCCCTCCCCCTCCTCTCGACCCCCAACCAAGGACAAATGGGGTAGTGCTGGCCACTGAATGCCGAAAACCTCTTGCCTATTTCAAGAGCGCTTTATGTGAAATGTAAAAAAGTTCCCCCGACTCGGAAATAGATTTTCCCTCGGGAGGCCCAGATATTCCAAAAATGGAAAGTGTAAGTTGGACGAAACGGGTCCAAATCGGGTGACGAATTCGATTAAGGCCAGGGCGATGGGAGGCTGGAATCAGCGTTGTTCCGTATATTGGATCGTTGTGATTTCATTAGAATGGCGCATCCGTAAAACTACTGCCATCAAGGGTCGATTTGGGACATCGTATACAATGGAAGAAAAGAATAAAAAAAAGAGAAAAAGTAGGGAGCAAAGAAGGGAATTTAGGAGAGGTTATAGTCAGTCCAATTGCAAGTTAAGAGTTTGTAAATTCCATGCACGACCCATCGACACTTTTATCACAAATAGTTGGTATAATGAAGCGATTGTTTGCAGTCAAACGAATCAGCAGTAGATACTACACTTTAGCACCCTATACTCAAATAAGGAGAAAACAAATGAGATTCTAAAAAGGGCCGCCCTTCAGACCCCCTACTTCACCGCAGAATCCCAATACGCTTTAGTTACAAAATGATAGTACAATAATACTGACTTCGTGCGGACCGTTCAAAAATGAATACCTACGCGTTAGAGCTTTTCACATATACAATTTTTTACACTTATAAGGGGAACAAGAACAAGTAAAATTCCTTGAAAGGTTAGTTTGGAGACACTTTTCATCTCTGCACTTTCCACGCGCGACCCACTCACACTTTTGTTACAAACTGTAGGTATAATAAAATCGGTTTTTTTGCAAATAAACCGATCATAAATGACCAAAACCTATATACATCTTACACCACCCACTTGTCTTATAATATATGACGAAAAAACAAAAGAATAGGAAGGGCCACCTTGACATGCTCTTCATTGTTGTACATTCCACACAGGACCGGTGACACTTCAGTTACAAATTGTTAATGTAACAAAACTCGAATTTTTGCAAACGAGCAGGTCATTATCGAATACCCATGTATTACTGTACCCATATAAACTCAAACGAAACAAAAAAAAAAGAAATTTCCCAACTGCCAAATGCAGTCCCACTTATGGTAAGATAGGGCGCGTGGGGTGCAGTGCACACAGTAAGTCACAGATAAATCGACATTACAATAAAGTAGTTGATCTTACCTGCTTTGAAAGATAAGTTTTTCCACAATAAGGCGGTCCTATGATGAGCAATGGTTGTGAGCAAGTGCATAACCAATTTCGGACGGCCTTCAACGAGGATTCACGACGAAAAATCGACGAAGGCTTCATCTCCTCGGGCGCATCTGAATAGTTGAGCTGTAGGTGTGCGTCAGAACATTAAAGTACGAGAAGATTTCGAGACAGCGAATTCTTTCGAAACGGTGCGGGGAAACTCATAAAATTCGCATAAAAGTTGGACAACAGGCGAGATTGTTAGCACAGCTGTGCATGAACGAAGTCGGAGGGGGAAGTCAGTTGGGTCGTACGATCGGAGAAAGTTGGGAAAATTGTTTAAAAAAATACGACAAAGTTGAGCAAGAGATTGATCGCAGAAAATAGGGCAAAAATGGCAACATTGAAGTGCAATCAAATTCTTTGAACTTTCAACTGCAATAAAGTGCACTCAAAAAGATTCAGGGCGAGATAATGAATCGGATTCATGTGCTGCAAGTTCCGTGTTGAAAAGAAGAAAAAAAGAATATGAATTATGGATTGCCTAAAGCACTTCCTTGCATGTTTGACGAAAGTGCAGGTGACAAAAAAATATGGAGAAAAAATACTCGTAAATTCCCTTGGAGCCAAATTTAGCATTTTGCATCGCTTTTCTAAGCTTATAGCAGCACTTAAAATTTTTTCATGCTGTCTTCGGCTTTGAATTTGAGTCATAAAAATGACAAAGACTTTTTTTCGAGAAAAACTCGCCCCGTATAAGCCTACTTTTTGCTGAAACGCCTACCCGCAGAGAAAATATCATAGGATTAGAGACTCAGTGCCACAGTGAATAAATTAAGTAGAGAAGAACACAAAGGAGAAACGAACGCTCTATGAGTTATGATGTGAGTGAGTGCTGATGTTACTGGATTCGATAAGAGAAAATGTAATCTGAGCTTATGCCTTTTAGAAGTCATGTTAGTTGCAGCCTGAGTCGTGGCATATGCAATATGGAAAAATTTGCTGGATGTATTGCTTTGGCCTTAATGGGAAAGGACAGATAGGAATGGGGGACGGGGAGGGAAGGGGAGCAAAAAGTGAACACTAAAAAATCAATACGATTTTCTGGTCAAGAAAAGTAGAGAAATAGAGGAAAAATACAAAAATTTTCTTTCTACATACAGCAAATTACTGGTATTGGAGAGGTGATTGGGTTCGGAGAGGCGGGACCAGGGAAGAGGGCGGGGCCAGAATGGTTCTGCAATCTTTGGAGTTGGTATGTAGGAGTCGAAAAATTTTGGCGGTGAATTTTTACTAGTACAAACTTACTTTTTACAAATACTGAATTACTTTTTACAAATACTGAATTAAGTTTAAAATACAAAAATTAGATGCTTTTTGATTTCAACGTTATACTGCAAAATTCAAAAACCACAACAAAATTTATTACAAAGGATACTCTTCCACAGTCCTTCACCAAGATAAATTTACTTCCCACGTTCCTAGAAAAGTTCTGAAGTCTGCACTGCTTGTAAACTACCTCTTAATTTTAAAGAAAACGAAATGAAACAGCATTTCAGAATTCTACGGTTGAATAATAATATGTTAGGTCATTCCGAAAGTAATTTCGCTTTTTTCAAACGGGCGCCACATTTGATGGAACAAAGTTTCCTAAAATATCTTGGATGCATTCGATGCAGCATTTCATTCTCTTTCAGGGTTATAAAATTGTTGCGAAACAGTCAATGAGCTTTTAGAAAATAACCAAGATCTGCGACCCATGCTTTTTGAGATGGTCAAGTTTCGCGATTTTTTGAAACTTTCATATCAGTCCTCATAAGGAGTTCAAGCAACGGTTCGATAGAGTAAGCCTTACGGAATTCAGTACTGCTTTTTTCTCCTTTCCATAGCTTGTCATAAATTTTTAACAGAATTTTAACTGATGCTACCGATTTCCATACTTGAGCAGCTAAATCCTCGTAGAACATCAAAAGAAAGGCAGCTCGCGACTATTCGATGCAGCATTTTCTCATCTTTCTAATAGGTTTTTTTTGTTTCCGATTCGTTTAGTTTCCGGGGAGAAATCATCATAACTCATCTTTTTAGCGAGCCCCAGGCTGTACCCGAAAAACTCTAAATTTGATATTTCGAACCCGTAAACCCTCATTTGCTTTGTAAAATTAATGCTAACTCATAGTACCATCTTGGTAGTCTCAAATTCCAAAAAATTATGATGTTTGATGCGATTGTGGCTGAGGTGGGCCTGCTAAAATCCGATAGTTCTGTTAAAAAATCTAAAAAATATTACGGCGAGATACGAGGAAGAGAAAAAAGCAGTACTGTATTCTATAGGGTTTACTCTATCGAACCGTTACTTCAGCTCCTTCTGAGGATTGATATGAAAGCCTTAAAAAATCCTGAAACTTGACCATCTCAAAAAGCATGGGTCGCAGATTTTGGTTATTTTCTGAAAGCTCATTGGCTATGCTGCAATAATTTTATGAGCGTTAGAAAGAGGACAAAAATCTGCATCGAATGCTTCCAAGACCTTTTAGAAACCTCTGTTCCATCACATGTGGCGTCCGTTTGAAAAAAGCGAAATTACTTTCGGAATGACCTAATATAATTACATGCATCATGACTTTTTTGAGATGAAATAACAAAAGTTTCTCTCAAGGAGTTTCTATCATTAACTGTATCAAAAATTTCTAAAAATCAAGAAAAAAATATGCTGGAAGAAAGTTTTGAGGCCAACCTGCAAAAAAAGCTGACCTCATTGTACCTAGGTGAACATGCACGTGTCGCCCATCGTATTTGCACCAAACGTGCACGTTCTCATTGAAACCACCCCCCCCCCCCCTCCCCCCGCCCCTTCCATGCTCTCATTTTCCAAGAAACGACGTGGCGATGATGTACAAATGGTGCAGAGTACGAAGAAAAGGTACTTTTGCACAAGAGGAGAACTCTTGAGAACTCCCGATTTCTGCTGCTCAAGTGGATGTGGGAACGAAATAGTGAATTATTGTTTGATTCATTTTCCAGATGCTTGCCCGTTCGCAGGATCCTCTCAAAAGATGGTGCCACTTTTGCTGCATGAGAGGTTCGAGAAAAAGGATTTGCTTTTTTGCTTGGCCATTTGTGAGCTTTCAATATGTATTTGAAATAAGCAGAATTCCCGGAAGACCCAAGAAGCATCACAATATTGTTTAATAAACCAGAGCTATGCATTAATCAGTGATTCCCGCATATTTGATAGTTTTGAGAGAAATGTAGCAGAACAAGGCTATGTAATTGGCAGTGTGAGAAAAACATTACACATTCCTTTACCTTGTAGAAAGAAAATCCAGTCAATAAATGGCCTAATCGGAAGCGATTCGGTGGAAAACAAATTTTAGTAAAAAAATTAGGACTCATAAATTTGCGAATTGAGCTCAGAGTACGAAATCTAACACATGCTGATTTTAGATGAAATGTTGAAGAGGTTAAATACTAAAACTAAAAAACTCTGCGCTTCGTTAAATGCATCACAGATTATTTTTGGGTGGCATGGATTAGCTACAATTTTTGCTGAATGCTGGATCATCAAAATGAAGACGAAAATATTCAGATTTATTTCCTTCCGCAAAAAAAGGAAAACGGAAATTTACGACAATTTCCCTTAATTTTACACTTGGTAAGCATAGACTCCCGAAGTACGACAAAGTGCCCACTTGTACAAAAAAGTCAAAGAAAAAGCAGGTTATCTCAAAGAAGATGGAATGTAAGGTTCATAGGACCTCCATCAATCAAGATTTGTTTTCAGAACATTCACAGAAAACTTTCGATGTATAGTATTTTTTCATAAAAACTCTGCTTTGTTAAATGCATCACAGATCGCTTTTGGGTGGCATGGAATAGTTACAATTTTTTTTTTGTGAAAGGAAACTGAGAAAGCAAACTGAGAGGGAAATACCGAAGGTTATATAGCTTTTATAATGATCGTGCAGAAATGCAAAGGAGTTTCAAATTTCAGTAAGAACAATGAATAAGTACACAGAAGCAAAATGCCGCCAAATTTTTCAGTCACCAAGCCTCCGTTTCGTTTTTGCCCGCAGACGAAATTCCGAGTTCCCCCCGGAGATTCAAAAAGTGCTCAAAATACAACATCATCAAATTCAAAACATGGTAGTCGTCCTTGATACAAATTGCTATGAATACAGAAAAATATCATATAAACTAGTTTGCCAACACAACACAGTTGATAATTGCATCGATTTGTGAGAAAAATTACATGCACCACATATGAGAAAACCAGTCCCATAATTCGAAATGTGCGTTTTGAGCCGACTCCTCCTTCGCTCACAAAACTCTATAAATTACGAGAAAGTACAACGCAATTACAGCGAATTGACATCGTTTCGCGGGGCTCGCGGGGCTAAGCCAGATCCGGCCAAGGGCCCGGACGAAGACGCGACGATGACAGAACAATAGAGCTGCTCGGGAGCTGCGGATTCGCGCAAGCCCGGACGAGTTCGTCGCTGGCGGTGGGCGTGGCTTCGTAACCTCGTTGGATGATGGGAGAGTAAGAGTATATGAGTGGGCGAAAAAAGGGTGGACACTGTGAATAGCCGATTGGGAGAAATTCGATAAGCTCTGGGAAAGGCGATCTGGCGGCGAAACAGGCGCCTATGCACGGACGCGTACGATTATAATTGGCTGCCATTGCATGATGAGAACCATGCCACTATTATTTTTGACGTAAAATAGAGTGCACGCTCTGCAAGGCTACGGCACCAAAATAGTGGGAAAGGGAAGCTAGAAAGACGAGCAACTAACAAAGTTATTTACAATGTTGCAGCTCCTAAAGCGATTGAACAGTATTAATTGATAAACAAATAAATAAATAAAATTATGACAAAATAAATAGACAAATGGCACAAAGGCATAAATCTCATCCCAAATTTTATGTAGGTTTTGAAATAAAATACTGAATACAGTATCCCTAAGCTACCCCAGTGAAGGAATGCGATATAAGTTTTGTGAAACAAGATTGCTACCCAAAAAGCCAAGCAGGTTGGGTAAGAGAATGACGGGTCTTACATAAAAGGGAAGAAACGAATTCAGGCAATTGGTCTCGGATCTTCCGCAAGGAGAAAAATTTGCAAAACTTACGCAATACT